ATAAAAGCCACACAAATACACACACACTCTAGCTACACTTCTTCTAGGGTGTTTATATATATACACGTTTAAATATATTATTTAATACTATTAATAATATTTGTGTGTTAAATTTATGTTTATAAAATTTTCAACCGTTTACAATCACATACTTCTTTGGTCTTCTCATTAACTTCTCTCAAGAAAGGCGCTTAAACGTTAATGTATTGCTGTGCCATAAGAAAAGTTAGGAAAAAAATGACAGAACACCTGGCTAGGGGTTCTAAATACTGTGAGCATTATCAACGCTTAAACCCAAGATTCTTAATAAAAATAAGGTACTAAACACTGGTGTTTTTAAAATGCAAAGCGTTAAGTATGTGTTAGAACCCTAAAAAATTACTTCTGCACAAGCACAAGAACTAGATTAATTACTAGGTGATGCCCAAACATGAAGCAGAGAATCTGTGTTGTTGATGGTCACAAATTGAGATAATATGTATATTTAAATTAAATAACTCACAAATGAAAAGGAAATTCTTAGCTCATTCTGGTAAATAATTATTTATAATTTAATACATGATTATTCTTTTAAATAATCTAATTTGATGTTCTTCGTTCGTTATCTGTTGCTAAAACTAGAAGACTTTAACAGGTTGATGATATAGTTGCGTCTTGCATCTCTTCTCCGCTATCTGGTTTAATTATATACAGCGTTGTGACCTTATAACACAGAAAAATTCCCCTCAACACTTCGATAACAGTGCTATACGTATTTAGCTGATGATAGTTTACCAGATACATATGCTCTTTTGCCAAGTTCGTTATACAGAGAAATAATTCTTCCACATAATTTTTGATACCTCCCTCTTATTCCATGTAAATTAAATATTTGCTCTCAGTAGTTCATAAACTTCCCAAAAGAACAAAGCATCTTTATCCTTTTATAAAATATATATATTACATATTTTATCTTTCATGTTTTTCTACACAAAAAAGTGATATATATTTTTTCAAAATAACAAAACCAGACGTACGATTCATTAAAATCAAACTTTTTTTATTTTTAATTTTTAAAACGAATGAACATGGCATCATGAAGTTGGAATTAAAAGGACAAAAAGATTAGATATTAAAGGCATCATTATCTTTTGTTGTCTATTTTGGTTGAGACGTTTCCTTTCTTCTGAGCCTTAAACTCTTATCTTCTACTTGTTTATGAGAATAAAAAATAAATTTTTTATTTATTTCTCTCTCTCAGACAAATTATTAAGGGCTTGTTTTTTTTATAAGCGTTGTTGCAATTTTTTACACATTTTCCAATTATTATCTAACTACTTTATAAAATACGTATTAAATAAAGTGTGTATATTTATTAATTATTTCATTTAAAAATATAAAAAACATTTAACAGTCTCTTCATTATATTTGTAAACACAAAACTAAGAGGATTTAGAATTATTCTTGTTTTATAACTAGAGAATCAATTCTCATACTTTTTAACACAAAACACAAATTAATGTAATAAGAATATACAGTTCAAATTATTTTATACATGAATCTCAAAAATCATATTCAAGTTGAAATTAATGTAAAGAGAATGTGGTCCCATTGCAACTAATAAGAGGAAGAAGAGCATGCAGCGGTACTGCCGTTCTTTTTGACCCTTAGGAATGCTTTATGGAGCAAAATGTGTGGAGTGAGAAGGAAGATAACAGAAGCAAGGGAAGCATATGCGATGCTGATGCTAATGCTAATGCTAATGGCAGTGCCAACGAAAGCAAAGACTATGTGTAGCCAATAGCTGAGCTAAATGAGACAGCTCTTATCTTAGCTATGGTTAGTACAATAAGGCTATGTTGTTAGAATGTATGTTTAAGCAGTGAAATACTATGCTTTACCCCACAAAGGCGCTAAAAAGAACAAACAGCTGAACCCCTTTTTCAGAAACGGATATTGAAAATTGTACGCACAACTTAAACACTGTCAGATATGATTCGTGAATCGTGAGTAGTTACTAATAGTCATCATTGTCATGCACAGTAAATCGTCCTGCTTATCACAATGTTATTGTCCAACATCGTCAACACTCAACTGCCACATTAATTTCATGATCACTTGAGGTTTTATAGCAAAATAAAACTCTTGTAATTTTAATAACGTACATGCACGATGAATTGATGATGCAGTCATGCACTTTGAACTTCAATCTGATGTGCTTTCTGAAAGTTTTTTTTCCACCCCGTTTTTATAGTTCTCTCTTTCTATCTCTCTTTATTTCATGACGTTTATTACATTTGTTTCCTTTTTTTTTGGATAAAATGAATGGAAGTAGAGAAACTAGAGAGGAAAGAAATTTGATAAAAGAAATAAACCTTTCGCGGAGAAAGGGACGTGGGAAGAGAGGGGAAAGCGGAGTTTTGTTTTGTTTTTTGTTTTTTTTTAATTAATTAAAATATTAAATGATATTTTAAAAAATTATTAAGAGAGAATATGATACTTAAAACTAATATATTTTAAAAGTTATTTATAAATTATTATAATTATTTTTAAGATGATTTAATTTTTTTATTTATCTAAATAAGAAAAAGAATTTCTTTCAACTCATTTATATACTTTTTTTTTTCTATTTCACTCCATCTAAACATCTGAATGACTTCTTGAAAAGAACAATGCTCGAATCTTATTCGAATTCTATCAAGTCATATTTTTGTGATAATCTATCATTTTTTATGTTTTTTATTGAATTGAATTTATGTCATTTTCTTCTCTTTTTCTCCTTTTTAAATTTTTTATTTTTCTTATTTTTTTATTTTAAATTATAATTTTTATTAAAACTATCTTAAAGATCGTAACTTATATTTAATAAATCTTTTTTAGTGTTAATTAATTTTATTTTGTATTTTAAAATATCATTCTTCGTCTCATTATTGAAATATTAAAATTTAATTTTGTAAGAAGTGATACACTTTGTTATTATAACGCAATTATGTTTTTTTAACTAATTGGACCAATTAATTAAAATTATTGCTTCAAGTCTAACTTTTTTTTTAAGCCACAACTTTATTCAGATTAAAATACAGCACATTTTCACTGCAATTAACATATCACTACAAAGTTAATCCTCATTCCTTTACATAAAATTTCTAGCAGAGGAAAAAATAATTTAAGATTAACTTAATTAGAATAGACTAGGCATATGAAGTTACAATTTACATACAAACAACAAATTTGGTTATGTATGACTTGGGTGAGCTTCATTCAAGTTTGGGTCTTGAAACTCCTAATCAAGTTACCCAACAAAAACAACAAATGGTTGTCAATTTTTTTAGGTGTATTAACTCAGTTATGATGAGAGAGGAATGAAAACGTTAAAAGAAGCAAAAAGAAAAAAGAAAATAAAAGAGGAATAGAAAAACAAAAATTCTCAAAGAAAATGCAGAGAAAAGAGGTAACCTAAATTAAAATGAAATTAAGGTTACTTTCTCTTTTCTTAACCAGAAATGCTTTAAATGTGATATCAAAATGTCGACGAGATATCTATTAGTCCATCCTTAAATGAGTCACTAAAAAATCAAACAAATTTTCTAAATAGGATGAGATGGGTGCGGACTTTTGGTGGGACAAGAATATTACCACCTGAATCTGATTGAACTAATACAAACCCAAGCATTTGACTCGTATGATCCAAGGACCCACTCCAAATCTTACACAACCCTATGCAAACATACATGCATTTAAAATGTCCAACATAAAGAGGGGTTTAATTATTTTGTTGTATTTATATATAATTTATTTTTCTTAATTTAATCTTTATTTAAAAAATAATTATAAACAAATTATTAAAAATTTGTTTTCAAATAATTTTGACAGTTATTGCACATTATAACTATTATTTTATAATATATTGTAATTTTAATTAATGTACATAGAATTTTATAATTTTTATACAATAATTTTTTATTTTAATTTTAACATTCTTTTTTTAATACCATATACATATAGAATTACAATTAAATAAAATACTTTTATTATTTCCTTCAAAAAAGAAAAAAAATCAACGATTTTAAAGTATGTTTTATTTTTTTTTCAAAAACAGTTTTTTGTTTTTAAAAATAAAACATAATACAAATTTATATTATAAAATAAAGAGACTTTTTACCTAACTCTTAAATAGTATATTTATTTTGTAACAATCTATATAACTGTCTCACATAATGACTTTATTCAATAAATTATTTTTTCATAGCTTGTCATAATTTATCATATTCATTGAATAATATTATATCTACTTTCTCTTGTTTATTAGCTCATTTTTGCAGTTATTTCAATCACGATCTTTACAAAAGGAAAAAAATAATAATTACAAATTAACTTTCAAATTTGAAAAAAAAAAAATTCAACTTTCAAAATGTTAGTGTTATTATTTTATTATTTGAGAGAAACAAAATCCCTTTAACTTGGATTTTTCATCTCTAAATCAAAATCCACAATTAAATGTTTAAAATTTATGTTCAATTACCGTAAATTACTTATTTTTATTTTGTTGCAGTACATATTTTCCCTACCTTCAGGTTATATTTTAGTATATATAAGAATTAAAATAATTTTTTTCATATGAAAACTAAAATAAAAAATATATTATGTATCAAGAGGACAATAAAGATGCCACATAAAGAACATATATAAGAACCAAAATTTTAAAAATGAGTAAAACATATAATAATGAACTAATTTTAACAAAATCAATAAAAATACATTTACAAACATTTTTTAATTAGAACCAAATAAAAAATAATTATAAGAACCAAAAAATGCATTTCAACTTAGAAATAAGAAAAGAAAAAATCACGATATTTCATTTTAATGCTAGATTTGTTCTCAAGAAATCTCACTATTTCTTAAATTCATAAACCTTTAATGATTTTTTATACATTTGTTTTTTCATCAAGAGAGTTTTATAAAACTCTTGGACTCACGATTCTAGAGTATCTTACTTTCACACAATCGATAGTGATCCTTATTTATCGAAATAAGGATGAAAGATTGTCTAAAGAAAATAATGATACATTGGAAGAGAACCTCGCTATTACCATTTCGCCTCCTGAGGGAAACGTCATGGCAAAGAAACAAATAGTACTAATAAATCTGTAAGTACTGAGCATAAACCCGGAACCCAGTGAAATACTAAACCGGCAAAGGATCTGGGCATGATTTGACACTACAACAAAGACATTCTTATAATAATAAAATAAAAAATTTGTAAATTTACAACTAAAGCCTACAAAGTTACAAATTTACAACATCCCAAACAACCTCGTAATTCGCTCCATTTACCGGACCACTATGCGGCTCGGAAAAGCCAGGTCCTATAGGTTCTAATGATATGTGACGGAAATTGCAACCTATATCTCTAAATCCCCAGAAAGAACTACCAACAAATAAAGCTCATTGAATCAATAATTTTAAGTACCTAAATGATCTACTACGCCGGATATTGAAAAGAAAAATACAACCCATAAAATAGATGGGCGTTGTGATTTTCAATCTAACATCTATAAAATAAAGGACAAAATTTATTCTCTATGACTTATTGAGCATTCGGTTCTTAATTTTAATTCGAATTTTTGGGGCACCAGATGTACCTTCGGATGCCTCCGGTTTGGTGTTTCTGATTTCTAATTTAGAATTATAGCCGCTGGGTTCAATAGATTTCAACTGTCTTGAAACGTCTGCTTCAGGTGCCTCTTTTTTACTTAGAGAGTCTATGGAGGACCTCTTTGCTTCATCACTCTGTAATTTTGCCATTTCTTTTTCCTTCCGTTTCTTCTCTTTCTTTAATCGTTTTCGCTCCAAATATTCTGGATCATCATGGTGTCCTTTATGATTTTCCCGTTTCCGCTTTTTTTCCTTGCTTTTGTGCTTTTCTTTCCCACGAGCAGAATTTTCTTTACCCAATGATTCTCCATCAAGATCAAATCTTGCAACTGAAAGAGTTTGAAGACTGGCATATCGACGTGCATCAACATCTATATTATTATCCTGGATAATACTGGATGATGATGGGTCTTCTGGCTGAGGTTGTGAATAAACTACACTAGAATCAGCAGTGCACTGGAGTTCTTTGCCTAATTCATCACCATCACTCAAAAATTTTGCACTACCAATGCTGGCAGTCATGCGAGAACCTCGATCATGCCAAGAATTGACCTCCTCAATATTGGTATTACCAATGCTAATAGTTTCTGCAAAATTCCTCTGGGGTGCATCTACAGAAACTGAACTGCTAGCTCCATGATCCATTTCATTACGACCACCTAAAGATCGTTCAACCACTTGATTATCAGTATCAGCCCTACTGGTGGCAGAAGATTGTTTGACCTTGATTTTAATTCGCCTCTTTCTGTCATGGCTATTGGAAATGGTATCAGCTTCCTTAGAAACTTCATTTGGAGCTTCAATTGGTGCTTCCTGGGCAAATTCCGTAAATACCTCTTTGGGAGTCTCTAGGGGCGCTTCCTTTACAGCTTCAACATGTGTTTGTGGGGGATCTTCACAGGGTTTGTCCTTAGGAGCTTCATCAACTGCATCCCTCAAACCCTCAGTTGTGCCCAAATCTTGCGTAAGATTTTGGGTAGAGCTTGGCAGATCCAAAGGTTTGCTTTCTGATTCCAGAACAAAAATGTTCTGATAGTTACAAGCATCTGTGAGACTCATATGCAATGCCCTATTTTCTCTGGGAATTCCATGAAGAGTAGGAGGTCTGCAGATAAGCACAAGATTAAATAAGATAATTTTTTCAAAATATGTACATAAGCTTTAGTGCATATATACACGCACACACAAAGTACTAAGTGGCATTTTTTAGCATCACCTATGGACAATAATTTTTTGCAAAAATAGCAGGAAAGTGAAAATGTACCAACTATAACATAATAGACCTATTCAGCTTGAGGAAATGTTTTATATTTTCATTTACAATTACAAAAAGTGTCACTTAATTTTATTCTTGTTTCCAAGGATTTGTATATATAATAGTGACAACAAAATACTATTCTCATCATCTCCTGTACAAAATGTTAAAAACAGGTAACAAAGGCAAAACAAGAGATAACATTTTTGTAATTATTAGACACCAGGAAATTAGAAAAAAAGAAATTTAGTCAAACCAAACAGGCACAGGCCCTTATATTCTAGATTAGATTCATCTCCTACCAAACAACATTATTAACTTCCAAACACAATCCCTTCCCCTGCACAAAAAATTAGGCTGTGGGAACTAATGTCCTAAAGACCTGCAAGTACCAAACTTCGAAAGACATAACTTGAATTTTTGACAGAGATACAAACCCAATTGAAATTAACATTAGGCAGGAATCAAAGTTGCAACATCAACTAGAAGAAGTTTTCTACAAGCATTCAAATTCCACAGAATTCAATGAATTACAAAAGGGCACAAAGTAAGTATCAGTGAAAGACGATGAATAACAGGCAGGATTAAGGGAAAAACAGAGTTTATATCCCAACAAATTATTTTCTAGAAAAGGCCAAATGAAACAAAAGATGATTCAAAAATCACAAAAACTGCTTTTATTTAGCTGGTATGTATATGTAAGATTCATGCAACAGATTAGCTACAAAAATGGTGAGCCTTTACATTTCTATAAGGAGCATATATTTCTACCTTCTTGCAAGTATTTGTAATATGCAGAACAAGTAGTGACGAAGAAAGACATTATTAAATGCCATACGCCCTTCCAGTAAATTAAGCATAGAGACAAGAGTTTGGTTTGTAATTTCATCATTGGAATTTGATCCATCCTTCATCTGACATAGCCTCATAACATGGGTGGCAAGTTTTAACTGCCCTGTAATCAAGGAATGTAACTTCTCCAATACATAATCAAAGGGGAAACTAAAGATGAAATGACAGTAAAAAGAATAGGGAAACCGATATAGGGAGTAGTTGTCAACTTTAAAAAAGCAGATAATTCTGTCATGAGATTAGTTGATCAGATATAACACCATGTACATGTGATAAATACTTAAAACTTGGAAAAAAAAAAATCCATTCTAATGTGTTAAAAGAAATCCTTTATTAGGTGAGAATTTAGTTAATTATTCTATATCTTCCACCCCCTTTATCTCTTTCTTCTTCAATTCATATATTTAAAAGTATACAATAATTATTTTGAACAAACTACAAATATTTCAAAACTAGTCCAACTTTAGATAGATTTTTATAATTAGTTTTAATTTTCCCCTTCTGAACCAACTTTTTTAGTTTGCAAACATCTTCCCTAGATCATCTCTTGGGGAAAGGATTTACAACCTCTTAAGGAATGCTCCTCCTCTATGTATTTGATAAATAAAAGCAACGCTGACTCCAAGCCCTTGCAGTGGAATTCAAGATCAAGTAGTGCTCTACTTGCTTCAATTCGGACTTGCCACAATGCCTTTAAGTCTCGAAAAGGCTTTACAAGTTCATACACTCGATCCTGTAGTGAAGCTGAAGCATTAAGTACTTTCTTGTCAACTTAGAACAGCAGTTTGTTGCTGAATAATAAAGTACTTACAAGAGGAATGAATCCCGAAAGCTTTGAAGCAATCTGGGTCAATGTCCGGATACAACTGATAGTCAAGATTCCATTGTAGCTAGGCATGAGACTAGCAGAAGACATTTCCAAATATTTAAATTATAGTTACAGTACAAGTATGATAAATCCACCACAGTAAGGAATGTGTCATTTCACCTATCAAATTGTAGCAGACGGTCAATGCGTTTGAGAAGAGATGACAATAAGAGAATACTCTGTCATAAGTTTTAGAGTCAGAAAGAAGCCAAATTATTGATCAGGTTGACTAAAGTTTAGAGAGATAGTAAAGGAAGTGAGAATCATATCCATGAAAAATATAAATAAAAGATGATAAAAAAATAGACCCCAAAACAAGCAAATTTTGCATGGTTGTCATAGGAATTGAAATTGCACAGCTCAAAATCACACTTTCCACCAACAAAATTATCCACTCCCCATACTTAAAATTCAACATCTAGAGTTATAGTAAATTAGAATGTACTTAAGGAGCTTTGCAACTATTAAATATAAAATAAAATAGACTCAGCAAGCCCAGCTCATTATATGAATCCAAGCAGGTAATTATGAGAATCAGGCAATCAACCAGAGAAAAAGTCCATGAACCTGTTGCCCGAACTCAAGCTCGCCAACTGACTGGACCAATGCAGCAAGCCAGAAAACATCTGAGTAAGGGTTCCCATTGTTGTCATTGTACTGAAAAAAATAGGAGGATAAAAATGACATGAGCTACAGAGCTGATCAGAGAGCTCCTATATAACTAAAAGCAAAAGGCAATTCCCAGAAATAAAACAATTTAATATAGAACAAAATATGCATAATACACAATTGAAAAAACATAAAACCCAAGAATCAAGAATGTACAATTAGAGCATTATCAACCAAAATGCATCACAAACCCAATTTTTCAGATTTTTATTTTTTAGAATCACTAAAAATACAGACAGCCATTTTAGCTGTGGTTCACCATGATTGCAAAGGTGCAATGGAGATTGCAACGGCAGCCACATGAAATCCACAACACCAAATTGTCCTTCCTGATTGCATTTTGCAGGATTTCCGCCTTGTAAAATCCTCAACCCTTTTGCATTTATCTATTTAAAAACTAAATTTGTATCCTTTAATTAAAGTCAATATTCAGAATCACTGTACAGAAAAGACAAATGATAAATGACTAGTAAAGGATCATGACCGAGTTTAAGCCTCAAGTATATCAAGACGAAAGTTAAGATGTGCTTGCAAGACGTCTTTTTGGGATAAATCAAACAATAATTTTTTATTTAAGGAGGTAAAGTAAAATACTATATGCTAAAGTACTAAAACAAAATAATTTTTTGATTTAGGGGCTATGGCTTCCAAGCTAACGCTATAACCGCAAAGGAAAGTACAAAATGTTCATGAACAATACTTAATTGAAGAAAATTCAGGTCACATTTCAAATCAATTCAAATTCTTTGCATGTTTAACAGTGAAATAAAGATTATTTTACTAAACAAATATGAAAGTCAACCATTGTATAAACCAAGTGACCAACTGCTCAGTCCCTTATCCATTTGTTTCCAAGTCAAGTAACAGATGATTATTTTAAATTCAACTAAAACTCTGCGGTATTTATGTTAAATAACTGTTCAAAACCAAGTAGCCTAGATGCATTGTAACTTAGGAAATAAGATTAGAATTATTAGCTTATTATTTTTCTCCTGTATTTATTGATTTCTGCAATTTTTATCTATGTAATCAGCCTCTTTATAAATATTACTCAGGAAAAATGTTTATTTCACTCAGTCGCAAATATTCCGTCCTAGAATCTCAAGTTGTTGTCAGAGTGGGTTAATCCCACCTCTGTTGTACATCAGTCCAGCCTGTATTTAGGTTAAAATCTCAGTCCCGAAGTCCATTTCTCCTCAGACTTGGACCCTCAATCACTTCTATAGAACATTTCTAGCCAGAACCCAATGTCTGGTCATCGGAAAAGGCACCACATGCTGCCACCAGAATTACCCTCATCCTGCATGAGTCACCTGGGTTTGTTGCTCAGGGGTAGTTAGGATTGGTTTGTAAGCTCAACAAACACTGTAGTCTTAAAGAATCTACTTGATGGTGTATAGGGACTCAGGCACTCAGCTGGGTGTTACAAAAACTAGGAAAGACTCAAAATGGAGTCAATGGCATCATATTTTTTAAGTACTCAATGAATCAATGATCATATGCCGATTCCCCATTTAAAGGATCATCTATTTAGTTATTTTGAATCAAAAAGCCGGAGTAGATTAAGATATTTTCTTGGGATTGAAGTTGCTCAGTCTAAGTGTGGAATTGCTATCTCCCAAAAGAAGGTATGTCTAGTGTTCACAATTTCCTATACAGATAATTGAAAATATGAAACAAAATGAAAACAAATTGACATTTTTGCAATTATTTATGAAAATACAAAGTTAAAACAAAAAATGGTTGTTTAAACCAATAACCCTTATAGTTGCAACAAGCTGGATGGTTAGACATATATGCTTCTGTTTGAGAGGGCATATCCGCCATATCGGAAATTGCCAATTTAAATATTTTCCCACTTACCAAGTAGCCTGGGGTGCACTATAACATGGGAAATAAGATTATAATTATTAGCACATTATTTTTCTCTTGTAAATTGTTTTTTGTAATCATTATCTATGTAGTATGTAAATAGTAATCAGCCTGTGTATAAATATCATTCTGTCAAGTACTCACTTCACTCAACCATTTCACTCAGTCTCTAATACTCTTAAAATCTCAAGTTCAACTTAATAGATGACTTCAATTCATTTGAAGTACTTCCATTCACCTTTTCAGCTGAAGATTATTCATCCGAAGCACCATAAATATGTCCTACGGTAACTCATTATTTCCATTTCATGGATGTGACTGTTGATTGTCACATTAATTATTCTAAAGAAAGTAATACGAGTAGCATAAATTAAGCAATAACCTTCAATAGCTGTAAAACAAACTCGATCGCCTCTCTTGGGCTTTTCTTGTCGGCAGCTCTGACCATAGCTACAGCATGTGGAATGGCCTACAATAGCCAATTATCAAACAAAAATTGAGTTGGCAAGTTTTAAAGAAATCACAAAAGTACAATGATTCATAATCTAATCACAAGCAAAGTATGCACACCACTTCAGAATTATCATAGGACACAGAGGTTATTTATAATATAAAGAGATTTTAAACAAAAGGCACATTTAATATTCAGCTGTGAAAAACAGCATTAGGAGCAGTCATGAATTATTAGATATGTGTAATATTAACTGTCATATTTCAACCACTTATGGGTAGAAATTAGGATTGTCCTCCAAAAATTTCAAGACAAATATTCAGAATAAGGATAATCACAAACATATTTCAACCACTTCACATCAGGCGTAACTTCATATACATCCTACCTCCTTGCATTACCTCAAGAACAAAATACTCAGCAAAATCATGAAAGTCATTTGGCCTGGCAAGAGTGTTGTACAAGGAGGAAAAACAGTCACTTGATATTGTCAAAGTTAAATGAGGGAAATTGAAACAATAATTTATTAATCTTACTTTGGGAGTCCAATGTCAGGATCAAACCTTCGACTCTTGTAAAATTTCACCAAATGTAGTAGACCAGAAAAATCAGTTTCCTGCTAGGCAATGAATTGATGTCATAATAAGATCTAAACTATGATGGAAAAGAAACAGCAATACTGATACAGCAATACCCATGCAACAGTTAGTCATGTATTTGGAACCACAATTACTCATGAACTTGATCAATTCTTAAATGGGTTCCAAAAGTTTTAGATGCATTTAGCCAATTACTATGGGATACTTAAAAAGACATGAAACTTTGGAGTTCAACATTGTACAGATTTCGAGGGGGAATAAAAAGAACAAAAGAATGATCTTTTCTTAGGTAACAAGAGTTACTATAACAGTGCTTGCAAAGTTACTAAAAGTAGATAATTATATCAAAACCATATCAGACAACACCAACATTACTCAGTTAAATTAGTGGCAGTCTAGTTGACTCCCACTCTGCTTATGGGTTTAATATGAATTATGTAATTGGTCAATATTTCATAAAGTCGTAATGCAATTAGTAACTTAGCATTTGGATACCTCAGATGCTAAACTTGCCAATGCAAACGCCGCTTCAATGCGTACTCTCCAAAATGCCTTGAGTTGTGACCAAAATACTCCAGATATTAATTTCAGAATTAAAAGCAAATAATGAAAATATCATAATATCACAGCAAGGAAACAAACCTTGGAGTCACTAAGAAAATTGTTTAGGGCATTTACAACAGAAAATGATAGCTGTGGTGATGCCTCAAGGGCTGCAATTGCTTGTGCCTGAGCAATAACATCTTTGTCCTTCTCTAATTGATTAATCTAAAATAACAAATCAATCATCTAGAATCAGTATTAAAGATACAAAAACAACACAAATGAATGAGCATCATTGTTTTCTAACAAAGCCAACTAGTGAGATTAGAAAATTGCATGTTCTATGTAGTTCAGCCTTCAGGTTTCCCCAATAGACAAAGAAGTTCAAGTAATAGTGGCATGGTTCACAACTTTAAAGGAAGGCTTAGAAACACAGACACTTCCCGTAGGCAATTAAATCTCTTAATTTACACATAACACTTCACATCAAATTCGTCTTTAACTCGTAGAGGTTCAAGTGATGCGCACTTCGTGTAACCTTCCACCATGAAAAGTGAAACAATAGCTCATAACAATAATGTCAAATGCCCAGAATCCCAAAAATGCATGACCAGCATACAGCTTCTACAGATCATCCCTTAAGCATAAGTTTAAAAGAAACTTGTCAAACCAGTTCTTGGAATATACCATTCTCCTCTCCTCACAATAATTAGTCCCTTCCCAAACCTTAGGAATTACAAAACCCTACAACAACAACCAAACCTTATTATCTCACTAGGTGAGGTCTGCTAAGGAATTATAAAACCCTATATGGTGAAAATATTTCAGCCACAAGGGACAGGGACCACTTCATGATATGTCAAACACAGCCATGCAGAAGCACATATGGATAATACAAATACCACCAGTCATGGTTTGAACTTAAAACATAATCATTGAGCTCAACAATAAATTCTCTTACTATAGCTGTTTTGGTTTTATAGATTAAAAGACAGGTGAGACAAAGAGATCTAAGGCTAAAGTTTGTCCTTGTAGGATAGGTTATGGACATTCATTTTAATATAAGACGGGATAAAAAATTTGCAAGCACGGTAGGATAAGTAAAATTGTTGTCTAAATAAACCCAAGAAGAGGATAGCAAAACAATTGAACATATGCAGTGCCTATCATAGGACAGCAAAACACTATATCACAATAACTCCAAAGAATGAATTGGCTGTGTCACTACCAGTCTACCAAATCTCATCCTTACCCACATCTGAACTGGTTGGTTAAAATGAACCTCAGCAAGGTACTCCATATCAGGATCTGCTCTGATCCACAACAATGGAGACTCGGTACTGTTATATCAAGAGAAAATTGTCAATAACAGAATGACAATGACAATGAATGAAGATGACAAGGATAGGAAACTGATATACTTGGAACGCATATCCATGGAGGGCACGTCACCATTATCATCAGAGCCATCAGGTTTTACACCTTTCTTAGGCTTTTGAAAGCGTCTTGCTGCGAGCTTTGAGTGACACTGTATTTCCAATAGTTGCCATGATTCTCCAGCCATTGGTAGAATTGGATGGTCATACATACCATCAAGTTCATAAACCCTGATGCTCATCATACCAGGCCATCCAGTATCTCCATCTCGATTTTCAGTATCTGGGTTACCATCAACAATGGATGTACTTGAAGTCTGCAAAGCTGTGCATCCTCGCAACACTGCCAATTCAACCATGTTCTTCCTTTTGTTATAGGAAAACCCCATCCTTGGCAATGGCGAAAGTAACACATCAGAATATAAATGCAGAAAAGCATTCCAAAAATGAGATAAAGGGTACAAACTACAAAGTAATTTGTTATTTTTATACCTTAAAACAGGACACCCACAAGAACCAACCCACCGAGGGAAGAAATCTTTAAGAAATGGACGTTCAAGATTTCCAACCTTATTAGCAAAATGTCGAAACTGCATATTAAAAGTAGCAATAATTGAAAACAAATTATCAGATACACGTTTTATTGAAAGAATCAAAACTCATCCAGATGCTTAAGCTAATACAGCATCGAAGATAAAACTACACTAAAATTTCTCAGCTTTAGTGAGATTACAAGGACACATTATGAGGTTTATTACAGCAATTTTAAGGAGATTCCATCAATTTAGCTTGTACACCTCAGTTATTATTTTTATTTTCCGTATGCTTTTTCGATCTAGAAAAAGCCCAAGATTGAATGTCACAGCCTCACAGGAAGTCCTGTCCATGGAAACCTCAAGATAAATGGAGTTTGCATCTGATCTTTTTGAATTATAAAGGACATATAAAATCTGGCAATGGCTAGCGTGCATCCAGTACCAAATACTTCACACCAGGGGTCAACTTCATGTCCATTCCTCTTTTAACTCAGTATTGGACATAACTACCCCATACATCCAAGAGGTAATGCCACGGTGAATGCCTTTTGCAGATAGTCTTAGTTGATGTTCTAAACTGTAGTCGTAAAGGGAAAAAAATTGGAATCATATCAAATGAAGTTGGGAGATATTCAGAAATCTCAAACTACCATAAGTTGCACAATTTGGGTACTTTATACACAAAGTGACCAGAAGATTGTTCAGGAAATCGGATATAATAATCAAGCTACGAGGATGGAATGGAAATATGCTTCTGGCAAAATTATGATCGCAAAAATGACAAAACTCAGGAAAATCGAGTGAATGATTAAACAGAGAGTCTATGGACACTATGGTAGCAACTGGTGGCCAATTTTTTTGCCAACAAAAGACAACCAAAACAACCACCGAAAAAAATAGGTGAATCAGTTGAAAATGTGGTATATGAGTGGACATCCAAGAAAATGTAACGCTAGATACTATTAGAACCCAAGGGAAGAGAAAATCATTTAGTGACCGTTAGAGTAGTAAGTTAGGGGATTAGTTAGTTGATGAAAGAGGCATTCAGAGAATTATAAGATTTGTGATAAAAAGGAAACCCTTGGTTAAAAGAGAAACCCTTTGATATGAATTCTTTCTTTTTCTCTGTTCAGATTTCATTCAGCAATAATAGATTTATTGGGGAAGAAATGGAAAAGTTGGAAGTTGCTACTAAGGAAAATGACTAGCAACAATAGAAACACTATTACGGGTTGCTAGTATAACTTTCTTCACAGTATTTTCACACCAATTGCTTGAAATAGGACCTAGCCACATTGCCAGGAAGCTGATTAAAATAATGTATTTATCATTCCATATTCTGATGTGTTGTCAACTGCTTTACTACATGTTTTGATCCCTAAACAGAATACCAGAAAACATTCTGGGCCAAACAAACAAGTCTCATGTTAAGAGATATTAGTAAAAACAATATCTGGGAATCCTCCTAAGTGCTTATGCATTGCATGATGGTTTCAGAATTTAGCAAGGCCTCTTAGAACAAGAGGTCATTAGGAACTCCGAGAAAATTATTTTAAAACGGCAATGTTATTATTACATTATCAAGTGACTGCCGTCCTTTAGAGTTATTTGTTTTTAGTTTATTAGTGGTGTAGAATGTGTTCAATATTTCAACAGCTTTGGAGCTAACATTTTTTGCAAAAACAAGGACACATAATGCTTTTGAAATAAAAAAAGAGGCCAAAATACTGAAGCAGTGTGCATTGTGTAATTCTCTGGTGCATTTGGTCACACAGGAATGCTAGCATCTCCAAGGGCATCTCTGCCCCTTTATAAGGCCTTTCCAAGCGTAAAAACGAAATAAATCTTGCACTTTCACTCATTCCTAGCAAATGATTTTTACTTGAAATCTGATGAATTCTAAATCTAGGTTTTCCTAAACCATAACCTGATATTCAACTATCAGTTGTTCCAAAGTTCAAACTTTGATTCCATTATCCACACCAAGCCTAATTCTGTCCCAGGATACTGCCCTTGCTTTTCCCATCTGCATCAGCTTGGCAGTAATATAAACCTAGTAGAAGTGGTTATGATAGTAATATAATTCCCTAGAGTATTTATGGGATTTCCTTAAACAATTACACTATGCATGGATAGATAAAATGACACAGGCACAGAAGCATTTTCCACATTAAAGCATTTTTAGAAAATTAATGAAATAGAAATAATTTCATATGAACTATTCTGTAAATGAATCTAATTGCAGAAAAATGTTGTATTGCACTATATCTTCAAGATAATTTCGTAGAAGCTACATGCAGGGAATTATTCACAGAATTTACTGAACTAAAAACATATTACCTCCTTAGTACTAAGAGTTTTCACAGAACGTGTTTTATCTTGAGCCCGAGAAACTATAGTTTGCAAAATCTACACATTGATAACAAACAAACAATAATCATCAAAACCATCATTAAAGCACATAACTTAAAGTGATTAACAAGCAATCACAACAAAAGCAAAATCAAAGTAAAAGAATTATGGAAGATCATGAACATGAAAAAATGGGAAAAGTCATCAAATGTGTCAAAGCCACCAAACATGCCTCAATGGATGCTGCCACCAAAGCTAATCAACATGTAAATTTCAGAATATATGCACAAAGACTAGCTCACTAGACAGCACAACTATTCCTTGACATCTGTTGAAGTATCTGATACCAATCATCCAAACAATCTTCACATTGGCCCCACAGCTAATGCTTAAACAAAATTAAACATACACAAATAACAGGAACCCAAGCAATTCCTCATATCATTTACCTTTTTCTTCTAATTTTCAGTGAACAAACACATCAATGTTTCTAAAACCAAATGTCATTGAAACAGTAAAAAGAGGTAAAAAAATTTAAATAAATAAATTTAGCACATACAATAGCATTAAACTAAAAAATATATATTAGCATATTTCTCTAACCCAGGGTAGTCTCACATCAAATAAGTAAAGGGGAGAAGTAAAGCTTCTCATTCTATGCTAGCCCTACATCAAATAAGTATAAGGAGAAGTGAGTCTTTTAAAAATAATAGAAGCCAAACAATTCTTGCATTACATGCTGCACGTAGGAAAAATAATATGAGCTGTAGACTTTGGTTATAAATTGGGAAGCACAAGTTCAATTTAATGAAAAACAAAAATACTTGTTTAATAAAATAATATAATTTATAAAACCACCTTTCCTCAGTCAACAGTGAGACCGATGAATGGGTTGATTGCTGTTCCAGTCCAAATCTCAGTTTTGAAATTTGTGGTTTTTCAAAGGGTTGATTGGACTGGCTTGGGAACCAGTTCTTGATTTTCCCAGATTGACCAACTGGTCTGGTCTGGGTTTAATAAGCAAAACCTCAATATAATAATGGGGAAGTATATAGCAGGCGATACTTCTTGGATTATGGTAAGTTAAAATAGTATAACAGGGAAACAGATGGTAAAAGAACACAATTTCACCAGCAACAAGCCTTAATCAAGTGGCACAAAGTCCTGTTTACACACACTAGGCTACTATTAATTATTACTTTACACAAGTGCTGAATGATGATACAATCACACCATCAAGAAGAGGAGAAAGAGCACAGAACAAATGCAATAGTCAAGATACAAGGCAAGATGTAAATGGCATACGAAACAAAATTTCAAATCAGCACACATAAGCATCAATCCTCCTCTTTTTTATTTTAAAACGAAGGCAAATAAGAAGAGACCAAGGGCCAACAGAAAATAAGACTTAAGAAAAATTCAACACTACAAACAAAAAGCACTGTTTGTTTTATATAACTAAAATTAGAGTGAGAAGGTACAGAATATATTCAGTATATGAGAAGTCATTGAATATATTATTATGTGATAACACTTTCCTTTATTACAGCCTTGCTATATTGAATGCCAATAATTTTTTTCAATATACTTTCAGCACTTAAATTCAAACCTTTCCAAACAAAATAAGTTCAACGGTTAATTTTTCATCAATAAATTTCCAGACCTGAGTTTTTCAGGAGGTCTATCAAACATACCCTAAGATTGAAAAAGAGTTCATGGACAGATGCAGAACATATGCATATCATCCAATTTATGAAACCAATTTTGGGAACAAGAAAAACAATAACCAAAAGAAATTACAAATACACATGATCACCAAAAACTGCACAAACGAGAACTCAAGACACTTCTAGTAATCTAGAATAGTCAGAAGGACAAATAACGTAAAACTCTCACCCTTCGGAAAGATTCAGGACCCATTTGCTTTTCCAACATCTGGAGAACTGCCACCTGAACAAAGGTAAAAAAATCATCTAATTAAGGCACCATGGAAACACATTATTGTACAGGCTTTAGCACTATATAATTAAAAGTGGAAAAAGAAAATGAAGGGAAAATACTTACAGACTTCCATGATCTTATTTTTCCATACAAACCAATGCTCTGAGTTCCATATAAATCCTTACAGGAAGCAGAACAGCTCAAAGCTGTTGCTCCACTGTTATCAACTTTGCAAACAGCACAATTTGCCTGTAGATTAATTTAAATGAGCATACAAAAAGGGGGGAATTAGCATATTAACTGCTGCACTTTCAACACAGAAGGTAATGCTCAGAAGATTCAACCTAGATTGACACTAACTAACTGTGGCAATCAAAGAGCAAAAACAGATTAAATATAAAATGGAATGCAATTCAGAAACTTTGTTACAGTCATCTTACGTTCAAATAGAAGAAAAAAAAATCAGAATACCTCAGGCACTTGAAATTAAGAGCATAGTTGTCAATCATGGATAGCAGGGCGCTGCGAACAACCCTCAAAATGCCATAGCAGGATACTATATACTGGGATAACCACTATTTTAAAGCTTTTATATGGGTATAAAGTATATACATATGCAGATAATTATGTATATAATGCTCAAAAAATATGCATAAACAGCATATGAATAATTATCAACAAAAGACATAAAGAGAAGGAAGAAAGTGGATTTTCCAGGAGAACATAACAGAGGTAGTACTGTAGAATCATAGAATAGAGAGAAGAAAGGAAGTGAATTTTTCCAGAAAAGTCATCAAGATGGGTGACTCCGCTGGACTGGATATTGTTCCAAAGCAGAACAGGGACAGAGATGAGAGGAGGGAGTATTGAAAAGAGAAGGGGAGAAGAAAAAAAGTGGAGAAAAAGTGGGGTTTCATCATGTGTCGCCTCTAGTTGCAATGCAGGACAGCGATAGAGATGAGAGGACGAGGTGTCAAACAGAGAAAGGAAGAAGAAAAAAATGGGAAAAGTGAGGTTAGGTCTGAAAACAGAGAAGATTATACCCTTAAAAAAAACCTCTACACTGTGTCATCTTAAGGGCAAAAAGGAAAAATTAGCTTATTTCTAAAAGACTGTTGTGCCCCAAAAGGCCGCATATTGGGCCATGAATACAGTCATGATGACCGCAGCAAAAATGCCCTGCTATGCCAGATCTGTGGCGGCCAAAGGCCACTCCACCATGCACTGCCACCATATTGTCAACTATGATTAAGAGGTTTCATAAACTTGAAAAAATAGAAACAAATCTACAGAGAAGAGAAAATAAAAACTAAGTCTGCTTGATATTGGAGAGAATTCAAACCAGCAACTTGAAAAGTAAAGTGAAAAAAAGAGTCTGTTAACAGCAGCATGACACAAGAACATTTATAAGACACAAATGAAAAGTGTCACTCCCCAATGACAATGTTATACTAGAAACATTTTTAGATGGCCTGAGCCCACTATCATAATCTTAACAGCCTAATGTTAGATGACTTTAACCTTCACATAGATTGGATGAATACAAAAGAAAGGCAAACCTTGTATCTCCGGTACCGTGCCTCATTATTTCCCAAATGTTTCTTAATAAAAAAATCGGTCAAGAAACCAGCGAGCCCGTCCAAGAGCCACTCTGCAAAGTGCAAATAAGCAAGTGCAGTTATGCTGGAGGAAATAATTTCTGCAGAACTTAAAAAGAATCAAATCAAATTAAAACAACACTTAAGCAGTAAAACAATATCATCAGCTAAGTTACCATCATTTGGGGCCTCAGCAGTGATATACACACCAAACCACTGAAGTGCAAGGGCATAGGCAAGTTTTACCCTTGTATCAATAGTCTGTCACAACAAACACTAAGGCTGATCAATAAGCTGGTAGAGCAACGAAATCAAATGTGGAAAATACTTATGTGCAAGAAAAACAGTTCTTTATTCCCTGAGAGAGAATTTAATTATAAAAAATAGATAATTAAACAAAAGAATTTAAATAATGAACTGACCTGGTCAATAACCTTATCATCAAACAAAACTTGAGAACTAAATATACTCATAGAAGCTCCTGAACTCAATGATGAAACTGCGATCTCTGGCTCTATGAAAACTTGCGTATATGATTCAAATGGGAAGTCTACAGAAAGATAATCCTTATAGCAGCTGCACATCAATAAAAGTCCAACTATCCAATTATTATACAATTTTATGATAAATAACCTGTGTCAGGCTAGTTAAATTGCAACTATCAGACATAAAACCTGAAGGCACTGTGGAAAAACTCCATTGTATTCCGCATCTTTGACAGATTAGGCAGCATACACATGTGTGATACAAAACTAAATTGGTGATCAGGAAGAATTTCAAATGGGGCAACAGCCAAAGATATCCACCTCGCAGAAACTGGAACATCCAATTTATAGACATATGTTTTCCGAGGAGGATTGTCCTTGCTCAAGACCTGAAAAAGAAAGGAGATTCAAGCATATACAAATTTAATTCTGCAAGGCATAAAATCAATAAATAATTTTTAGTGTAGACTCGGAAATTATATTAGAGACAAATGAGGTGAATTACAAAGAGGAGGATCACAAATTCTGTGATGCAATGCAAGAAAAGAAAAAGAAAGAAATAAAACAGGATACCATGCCTAGCTTATATACCATTTCATATAGAGAATAGAAACAGGCGACAGAGAACATCAATAATAATAATTTTGTTTTCAACCTTGGAAAGAAAGCATCTTTCTTTTCCCCTTCCCTTCCACAGAACCATAGCAAGAGACAAACAACTTCACAAAAATTTACTGAATTCTTCAAAACAAAGAGCTAAATAATGTAAGCCAAATCCCTCAGACAGGAACTTTGGCTACATAAATTCTTGACCCTAGAGAAGTGGCGGTGAGCATGGATTGAACATGCGACCTTCAGATCTTCAATCTGACGCTCTCCCAGCTAAGCTATCACCGCAAATCAAAAACCACCAAACAGAAACCAAATTCCAGCTCATAGTTGCCGAGTTGCATAACCAACCAACTAGGTGACAGTGATAATAACCATATATATGGCTGACTGAGAATAACCCCACAAATTGAAACTCATGTCAGCATCTAAGAGTTGTATCAAACGGCAGCTACAAGCACATACAAGGGTATTTTTGGGATGAATTTTAATATCCCAAAAGAAAAAGAAAAAACAAAAAAAAGAAAAGGGAATGCTGTATGGAATCCAAAGAGGAAGAGGGAAAAATCAGAAATAACAGTCTAACAGACTACATCCTAAGCTTAGTATTTGGCAGCAATAGAACCAACATGTGAAAGAACTATTTCCAATATTTTTACTGTAACTGATTTCTTTTACATTCATTCCTTTTGTACAAAATTAGCAATTTCCAGTCTTCAATAGTTCTATCGCAGCAATCAAATCCTATTATTTCCAACAATGAATATTCCTAAAGAAAAATGTTGATTGAATCCCTTCATCATCAACCACCTGTGGATTATATTAAAAAGAGGAAATTGAAAATAGACATACTACAATTGCCCAGTGGTTGCAAATAAAAAAATTTCCAGTTCCCAACCCGGCTTGACTTGGCATGACATTACATATGCTTTTCAACAAATGCAGCTCCTAACTATTACAAGCCATGTGCTTTCAGAAATAAAATAGCAGAACATCAGTATCATTCATTGCTACCTGATATAGCAAGCTTCCCGTGCTGACAGCCACAAGATTGTATGCTACAGTGAATTCCAGGTCATAGCTGAAAATGAACAAAACAGCAATAATGACTTCAAGCACACATATTGAATAGTAAATATTGTTATTGTTATATATTGTGACTATGAACCTGGTGTATTTACACACAAACACAAATCGGAAAATGCTAAACAGTTCATACCAGCATCGTTGTGAATTGTCATCTATGCATGGAAACCAACACCTTGCTCTCCTTATCTGGTTATCGGTATGAAGAACATTGCTTCTGAAGTGGATTCCTGTCTCTGCCTTCTCTATCCAATAGTCAATGCGAACAATTCTCACATTCTGCACCCAACATCAACCTACATGAGAAAACACAAATAGTAAACCTCACCAAAACTACTCATTTCTCACATTATTTTCAGGAAAGGATGCTAAACTATCTCCCAATAAAAGACAAGGGCTATTTATTTACAATGAGTGGGTGACAGGGTACGTATATGCTCAATAAAATAAAAAGGCATGTAAATGTTTATCAAAAAGAAAAATACGGAGAAATTTAAATAAATATATATGTATGAAAAAAAAAAAAAAAAACTCAACACAACATCAATCATTGATGAAAGAGGTGGAAAGTCCCAGCAGAAGACGATGTTCATAAATTGAGTTGTTACAATGGACACGGGTTCATACTAGCCCAAACACGTGGCAACAAGTCTAAATTAAATTACTTTTAAAAATCAAAATAATGAACATATACACATTAAAATTCAGTTTCCATGTATGTGTCTCTTGCAGCAGAAACTCAAAAATTGTTCAGTATCCGGGTTAGCACTAAAAGCAAGAGTGCACACAGCCAGCAACTATAACCTGCTTGGGCTCGGCCGAGGCGTGAAACCCATTGTCAGAAGTGGGTTGTTCCTGTGGTTCACTTTCAGTCTTAGAAGGTTTACAGCAATTGATGAGTAAATTGGGAACCAGTTCCTTCTCCAGAGCGGACATGTACACTGAGACAGCAGCATCAGCAGCAGAGCTAGGAGAACACACCGAGCTAAATCTCTTTTCATCATCCAACTGTTGCTGATGATGGGGGTAATACTCGAATTCCGTGGGCTCACCATCAACCCAAACACTTTCAATCACTAAGTTCTCCGCGTGCAACCCAACGATACCAATCTCCGGCACCGCAATTTCCAATTCAGTATACCTGCATGTAAAATTAACTTAAACCAAATTAAAATGCAAAAAATGAACACTCGAATCATCGATTTTGATTACGCGATCTCGAACACAATCTCAGCGTGAATAAAACCTAATTTAGAACCGTATCGCATAGCATATACTAATTTTCAAGTAAAACACGAAAACGATAATGGTGTGTGTAAGGGAGGAGTGAAACGTAAGGGGAAATGTGAATTGCGAGAAAGGGAAGGGGAACGAAGCGAACCCGTAGACTAGGCGTTTGTCCATGTCGATGGATAGGCATAGCTTTTGGTGGTGAACTAGGGCGCCAGAGTTTTCGGGTTTGGGGTCTTCGTTCTTCGGCTTGCGAGGTTTCGCCATGGGGGAAAGAGAATCTCGGGGTTTCTATCTCTCTCTTTCTCTCTCCTTGTGTGTGTGGGCGTCTCCCTCTGTGCGAGCTGAACTGATGCGTTATTTATAGAGGACCTTACCCAGTAGAAGCGTGCTTGGGTCACGCCTAGACAGCGATGACGATATATTGTGCGCTATCGGTGTACCTGTGTGCCCTACTTTGGCGAATCAACGCCAAATATATATATATATATACATATGATAGTCTAATTAAGCAATTTAATTAATTAATTGTATTAAGATATATTAACTTTAAAAAGTTAAAAAAATAAAAATTATTTAAAAATGAAATTAATATATATATATATATAAGATATAAAAATTAGATAATAATGTAATAAGAAAAAAGCAGACTGATTTTTTATTTTATTTTATATTGAATGTCTATTAAAATAATAAGTTTATAAAATCAATTTATTATTGAATAAATAAATACTGAGATGTGAAAAAAATAAATAAGTATATGTATTAATTTTTTTTCCTATTAATAAAATAATTCTTACAAATTTTAATTGTTTTAAAAATTTTATTTAACTAATAATTTTACCATGTACTGTACGGATAAAATGACAAATAGATAAGATATAAATAACTGAATTTTTATTATTAATAATTAAATGATTATTACATTGGATAAAAATTTTAAAATTAACAGATAATTTTTCAGATTTTTATTTTTTTTCAATTAATCACAAAAGATAGTTCAATCTAAATACATGTTTAATTATTTAACACGTTTTCTTTTGCTATAATTATTTAACACGTTTTAATTAGTTATACAACTATTTTACTGATTAGTTAGTTGCAAATTATAAACTTTTAGTCATGAATTACAATTTTTTAACCGAGTTTTCAATTATAAACTTGAAAACTAGTTTAAAAAAACTAAAATAACATTCAAACAAGTTCAAAGTAATTACTAATATAGTATATTTTAATTTTAATTTATTTGCCTTTTTTTGTTATTGATATAGACTTTTGACTATTTTAAATTCTGAAAAAGCACTAGGATCAATTTTATCAATGCAACGGGCACAAATCGTATAAAATTGTATTTTATATTTGTTTGTTGAGTCTCACCATGACACAACAAATGTTTATAGTTTATATAATTTAAACAAATTTTCTAATCAATATTACAAATTTAAATATTTCACTATTCTGGCATTACAGGCTATTTTTATATCTTTTATTATGTTACTCCTGCGGTGATATTTGAATTTTCTGTACCCTCTTTGACAATAATTATCAACAGCAAAAATCTTAACTATAGATCACATACTCTTTCCTTTTTTTAATTGTTTTACAATACAGTTTTAATTTTTAATATTTTGTAAGATATTAAGTTGAAAAAAACACGCAGGAGGATCTAAACGCGCAAATGACGCTTCCTTATCCGAAAACCTATGATATGCAACAGTCATTAGAGTTGTTCTAAAGCCTTTTTTCAAATTTTTCATTTTAAATATGTTCAATTAGACATTTTCAATTTAAAATACTTATGCAGGATCGAAAAAAAATAAAAAATGCAATTAGAAATAAACAATTTCCAACAAAATCATGAACATCACAAATTTTTTTATATATATTTTAAAATTAATCCAAGACAAGTCAAAACGCAGAGACTCGTTAGATGCCATTGAGCCGCTGAAATGGATAAAGTCCGAAGGCCCATCCAAGATAACGAAAGCATCTCTGATTCCATTTCCTCTCTATAAAAGGAACCGAGCAAAAGTTTCTAGTCGTAGTTCTTCAAATTATCGGGCGAAAAATCTTTTTCTCCCTTATCCAACCTTTCAAACAAACATCGCCGACGTCGCGCTGTTGAACCCTAAAAACCACGCTAAAACCGTAAATCAAACTTCTCGAATCGATGATTGAACCATACAACAAGTACGGGTTTCTCTCCCTACTTCATTGGCATCAAAATTGCGTTTAACCAAAGAAGAAAAAGAAAGGAGGAAGAAGTGCTTTGGTTTTGATTTGAACTGTTGCAATTCAAGATATGTTAACTCTGTTTGAATTTAATTTACTGAATGAATCTGCGTAGGCTGGTTAAACTAGCGGCGAGGGCTTTCTACGATGATTTAACGAGCAAAGGAGATAATCAGCCCAAAACGGGAAGGAGTGATAACAGGGGAATTGCCGTGGTAGTTCTTGATGCGCTCACGAGGTTCGACCTTTCTTCTTGTTTATCAGCTCTTGAAGACATGCCTTGTTACTATGTGGAAAGTAGTAGTACAATGGTTTTAAATTTCGGTGGCTGTTGCATTAATTAGCAAAATAGCTAATAATTGTGGAAAATGTGTCCATAATTGCGGTTGTGATGCTATTGTGAGACTTCAAAAACCTCAGTATTGCAGCCGCAATTGTGTTTGTGTACTAAAATTTAAAACCATGCAACTAGTAACGTATATGTGACTACAAAGCAAGGCAAACAACGAGAACATAATTATTTGAATTTTTAAGTGAAATTGAGTGAACGAGAAAGCATGATTAAAATGGACGGGGGGGGGGGGGGGAGGGGATATATATTCAGAAATGCAATGCCTGCCTGGACCAGTGCACGTTGAAACTTGGGTTGTTAAACATCTTGGAAATAAGGATTTGATTTTTAGCTTTTGCTGAGTAGGGTATACCTGTAAATGTTCGGGACGTGAAGAAATGGCAAAGATGATACAGGATTATATGTAGTTGAATAAAGCAGGTGCATTATTTATTTAATTTGGGTTTTAATTGTACTCTTTTAATATATATTCCAGACGACAATGGGTTAGAGAAGAAGACTTAGCAAAGGACCTCAAATTGCATACCAAACAACTTCGTCGAACTCTGCGGTTCTTTGAAGAAGAAAAGATCATTACTCGAGATCATAGGAGAGAGGTAACTATTTGGTTCTGTCCATGCATTAGACTGTGAAATAGACAATTTCTTTTGTCCGATCCATATCTTGACCGTGAGCACACATGGATTGACATTGATCTTTTGAATGAGCTTAACAGAATAACAGTCAGACAATTATTGACGACTGGTGTATTTATGGGTAATTAGTTGAAAAATACAGCATAACACACAATAAAGGGAGAAATAAAAGAAAATATTTAATTTTATAACAATATGGTATTCTTTTAACTTCTATCATATTTCTCTTATGTTTTATTTTTTCAATATAACATAATGAAGAGGACAAGTTAGGGATACTTGAGAGTTTCACTTAATAAAGGGTTGAATGACCTGATAGATTATTATCCAATACGGCACAACAAAATTTTTACGTTTATTTCTGTTGTTTATGTGGGGACCCATCACACTAGAACACCTAAGCTTCTGCAAAATGTTATGTGTTAGTTGGTTTGTAGTTTTGCCACTGTGACTGGCGATTTAGCATAATCTCACTGCTCTAAAGATATTGTTAATATGAAGTGACACAAGCGTCTTATTTTCTTTTCTTGCCTTTGCTGAGGTTTACACATCCAAGGGAATGCACTTGTATCCCCCAAAAAATCTGCATTTTGTTTTGTTATAGCTGACAAGGCGATGTTTTCACTTCAAAATAACCAAGGATTGAATATCCTAAAAGCTTAAGTGTTGAACTATTTGGGCTTGAAGCATGGATAATGCATAGCCCACTCTTCTGTTGTACCGAACTTCTATTAAAAGCACGTGGGCAGTAAGGATCTAATATTTGACTAGTTGGTCAAGGAGATTTTGATACCATATTAAGAACAAAATTTCTTACATGCTTAAGCTATTAGGATAAGGTTAATTGGTCAAGAATGGTTTTATATCTAAATAATTAATCACAAAAGGCCCACTTGTAGCAGCCGTTTCTTGCTTTTGATGAAAGTTATTTTATTAAATTCTTTATTTTTTTATATTACAAATTTTAAGTCAGTTTTCATTCAGTTTTAAAATTCAAAAGATAATTTTATGAATAAATAAATGATAATATCATAGCCCCCCAAAGGATATATATTACACCTATCTCCTTTCCTTTGAGTTATATTTCCTTTCCCTCTTATTTTAAAAATTATTCAAACTTCTCTTGTGCAATGAAATGTGCAACACTATTGTACATTTTCTTGTGCATTAACCTCTTAGCAGTCAATGAATGAGGCTCCTAGGGGAAATTTTCCTCTCTATGCAGCTTTCAATGTTACAGTAAGCAAATTTTGCACATTGTATTATTTATTTTAGGACTTTAGAAGATGAAATGATGCTTTAATACCTTACTATCAGCATTTAACTTTACTCAAAATCTTCATTTCATTTTTTTGAAGTCCCAAAGTTGATAGTAATACTGAATCATGTTGAAAAGAAATTGGCCTTAAGAGGTTATTTTAAATCAAAATGGACTAGAGTATGTAGCACATATTAATCTCTTAAGCATTGTTTGATGGTTAATTTTAAGAGTGGTAGGTTTATTTAATGATGACACTTATTTGAGAGTTTTAAATGTGAGGGAGAGTTTTATCTTCCAAAACTCATGCATTTAAGTTTTCTCATATTGGGAGTTTTTTTCAATTGACCCTCCTTCCCCTCTTCTTCCTTTCTCTTCTCCTTCACTACCCGAACTCTCAAACAAAACCTTAGAGAAGGGGAATATTATGTTTTAAAAATAAAGGGGAGGTCAATATTACTGAAACGTGTAAGAAAGAAAAATCATGCTGGGTGTGTTTAGATACATAGTTTATTTGCTAAAACTCTTTTTAAATGATGATTTATGTCATAAATTTAACAAAATTTATTATGAATTTATGATAAGATGAAAATAACTTGTTATGATAGATTATACTAAAATATTTATCAAAATAAGTTGGAAAAAGCTTATAGGAGTTGTAAGCTATTTTCATAAGCTATCCATGAGCTCCTCTAAACATGCTAGTAAATCAAAGAAAATTAGAACATTCTCTTTATATGTGTATGGCTGGTGGCACCTCTAGTGTTTGTAAAATGTTTTGGTTCTTACCATGTAATATAATGTGGTGATCAATATCAATCTCTCACACCTTAAGCTCAGTTGACACCTATGCATCAGCCTTGAAGAGTGCCACTAGAATTTATACCATAGTTATCTATTATGCAATTCTCTTTGGTATGAGTATGCGGTACATTACTATAGAGAATATATGGTAGGGGTATACTTAGTTGCGATGCAATTAGGGTTTGCAGCCCGTTTTAAAATATTAATTGGTACATCTTTATTATATTTTTATAGAAAATGTTTTATAAAATTTTTAACTCATAATATTTAAAATATCCTTTTTCTTTTATATGTATCACAATAAATATGTTGTTAATTTTTTTTACCTTCCCAGGTTAGTAACAGATCATTTACTTTTTTGGTAAAATTTTTGTTTATTGAGAAAGAAAAACCCAAAGATTATTTACAAAATAAGGTGGGACCTCCTTTCTGCAAATTAAGTAGTTTAAATTTTTACCTATACTGGCCAATGAATGGACATCATTGGAAATCCAAAAAGTCAAAAGACTATAAGCCTACTTGCAGAGAGAAAATGACTATTTGAGCATAACTGATATATATTTTCTTTAATGCACTGCTCATACTTTTAACCTTTTCTTGTTCTCTTCATCTTCATTCACCTGCAACAAAGCTCAAATTTTCTCACAAAGATTAAAAACAATGGTCCTGCACATGTCCTTTGGGACACTACTGTGAGCGATTTGATGGCAAATCAAAGAGAATCAATACATAAAAGCATCATGTTTTGAGATGCACAAATCAATTTGTAGATCACTGAGGTAGGGAGCGAATTTGGTAACACAGATCTGCACGAAATTCCAACAGAAAAATGATATTTTGTAGAAGTTTAACTATCTGCTTCAGTGTGTGCCTACCTAGTGGCAGTTTCTTTTCCTTGTACGGTTGTGCTGCAGGGAGAGGGTGAGATCTTGGAAGTTGATACCATAATTGGCAATCTGTCAGTTAATTTATTGGAAAGCTTACACATCTTTTTAGCTTTTAATGACGTTGAAGACAAATAAACTTGCTAGTTTTTCATATTATCAAGAAATAACGTATTTGTTATCATGCATTAGCTTTTCAATTTTAGTTTATTAGATTTTCTGTTTCTGGAAATGGCTCTATATCTTATGTATATGTAAGTCCATAGAGTCTATTCCGGAGTGTTTGTTGATTTACACATGCTTTTTGTTCTTGTCTTGTGGCTTGAAGATCTGAATCCAAGGACTTTTCAGGCCTTTGGTGGTTCCACAGCACTTGTGACTTGTGAAATCTTGAAAATATATACACACACACACACATTGAAATGACAATTCTAATGGCTTTTTATTCAAAGTGAATTTTATTAATCTAATTGTTGATTCATGTAATATCATCATGATAATTGTATATATAAAATTTTACACAATTTACACATTTATAGATATGATATCAAACAATAACTATTTATATTTTGAATAACATATGATACAATAAAATAAAGTTAAACAATGGAATATCAATTGTTGAATTGTTTAAAGTTTTTTGAACTTGATCTACTCATAGTAGTCACTTTTGGGATAGCTGTGGGGAGCAGCTGACCCCAAAAATGCTATAGCAGGGTAGTAGGATGACTACTATTTTGAAAACTATCATAACAAAGAAAGAAAATAGATCAAGGAGTGTTCAGTAACAGGAAAAAGTTTTAATGCAAATGGTCGCACTGAAAAATGTTTCACTATCATCAGAAAAAGCTTACATCTCAGAGGAAATAGCTTGGGTTACACCAAAGATGAAAAAGACAACCGAAAAATGTCTGCTCACATTAGAAATAAGTTGGGTTTCGCTAGAGATAAAGAATACAACTAGAACTTAGCCAAAAATGGTAGTGATTTGCACCAAAAAGTAACGTCAGAGATGGAGGACGAAGCAAGAGAAAAGAGAATGAAAATGGAGGTAGGGTTCCAACTTTCAGAAATATAAAAGGGAAGCAAAATTCCAAGATTGTCTCCCTTAAAAAGCATTCAAACTTTCAAAAAGGGAGGCAAACTTGTCTTTTGCCCTTGTTTGACATATAAAAAGGGGTGAAATTCCAAGATTGTCTCCCTTAAAAAGCATTTCAACCTTCAGAAAGGAGGACAAATTTTCCCTTTTGCCCCAGGATGAAATAGCAGCTGCTAGGGCAGCGATTTGTTTCGCTTTTTGCCACAATTTGCAGCACAACAGCCTCTACATTGAAACGTGACATGACGGCGATAGAATAGCAGCACCCAGCCGCTCCACACCTTTGCGATAGCGGCCACAATTGACTACTATGGATCTATTATAGAAGAGCTTCAAATTTAATGGCTGAATTAATAAATAACTAGTTATTTAGTGGGTCTGATTTATTATAATCATCTATTGATAGTGTTTTTTTTTTTTGGTTTATTTTAATAATTTTTTCGTTGTTAGTTTACATGTATGTGAGAGTTGTCAACATTCTATGTATTGTCAAGTCAGCTTTTCTTATTTGACTACAGACAGCAAAAGGTGCAAAAATTTATAGTGCTGCTGTAGCTGCTACAGCTGATGGTCAACAGACAGCAAAAGAGGGAGAAGAAAAGGTCAAGCTGCACACACACTCGTACTGTTGTCTAGATTATGCACAGGTCTGTCTCTTCACTCTAATTCTTCCATAATTGTAGCTTTACCAATGATATTTGGATGTTTTACTGTAGAGAGAAGGGTAAAACTATGCTATTTTGCCTGTTTTTGTTTTGTTGACATTTTTCTTGAATCAGGACAAATATACACCAATTTTGCAATTTCTGCCCCCTCCATATATAGAAAATCTAATGTTGAATTTCATTGCAGATATATGATGTAATTAGGTACAGACTACATCGCATGAAACATAAGCTAAAAGATGAGTTGGAGAACAAGAACACACTTCAGGAATATATATGTCCAAACTGTGGAAAAAGGTTTCAATAATTCATTATAATATCAACATCATAATATGTCATAGTTATTTGTATTGATGTATTTCCGTTGCTTAGTACTTGGGTGTATGAATTATTTTAGATACAATGCTTTGGATGCTCTGCGGTTAATATCTTTTGAAGATGAGGACTTCCATTGTGAAAGTTGTAATGGAAAATTAGAGGTTGAAAGTGATAAGATAGCTGCTCAAGAAGGGGGAGATGGAGATGATAATGCTAGAAGACGACGGCGTGAAAAGTTAAAGGACATGCTTCAAAAGATGGAGGTTCTTACATGATTTTACTATGCTGTTTATTTCTATTTGTGGCTTCATATGATGGATCATTTTACTTAGGTTTGTTATTTTTTATGTTGGTTCCGATTCTTGTTCTCTGGATCTGGTTAACTTAACCAATGTAGTCTGTAGCAAGTAGTGGTTGTGCTATTATACTTAATAGGTTTAGGTCACGTATTTATGACACACACTGTTTGAATCCACATCAAGTGGTAATTTGTTGTGGAAGAAGGTTTATAGATTTCCAATTAGCTTTTATTCTGCGATCACTTTTAATAAGAACATTAGAAATATCATGTGCAGAGCTGGTTCAAGGTCAATTAGTTTGATATTCTAACCATATGTAGTGCCAATCTTCATGGAAGATTATTTATAATATAGGTATGTATGTCTCCTTATAGTGTTTAATTTGTTATATCTGTCTGATACACAGAAGCATACACAGCATATTGGTAAACATTTGTTTGTAAAAGATTAGTGTTGATGAGTGTCAAAATGATGCTTTTTTATGGAAGATGATCACAGGATTTGTTTGCATGCATTGTTAATCTCTCTCTCCAATTCTTTATCTTAATGTTGGAATAAGTTGTGCAATGAATTGTGATTCACCCACTTAAAATGCATATGGGAGTAACTAAACTGAAATAAAACAAACATAAATAGGACGTGTAATGGCTGCTGATAACTCAAGTTCTCATTTCAGCTTTATATCTGTCATTTGGCAATTGGTAGTACACTTAATTGCTTCTAATTGATTTGCCAAAATATTTTTTATTTTTATTTTGCACTAATGAAATTTAAGCTAAAAGAATTGAAAGCATACAAACCCTGTAAGCCTGTTTCTGGTGTGTTCAACGAGCAGAAAGAGTAGTCCAAAACTAAAAAATGCTTGAAATATTTGATTTTGAAATTGTACATCTTTATCTTTGACAAGCCAATGTTATATAAAAAGAATGAATAAAACTCCCTTGTATAAATGTCTTTTAGGTTTCCCATGTTTCAACCTATCTCTACCCATGTGATTGCTAAATGATAATCACTGCTTGAGATAATGACAAAACTGAATTTAACTCTTCCATCTTCCCAATATAAAAAATTCTTAACTGTAGCAGCCATGGGAAAGTTACCAACCACAACAATTGGAAAGAAGAAAGAATGACAAGGCAGAATCCCTGTTTTACATTCTTCAATCTTATTCCACTTTACCCTAATTAGGAGAAGATCACAGGAATGAACTTGCTGCCAGTTCAAGCTTGACAGAAGCATTTTGGAGCCCGATTGTTGTGGACACCTTTTTTTGGTGGTCCAATCCAATGTACTTTAGAAATGACCCAAAACAGCCAGATAACCTGTAGTTAAACCTGATAGACTTGCAAGTTTTTTTGTAGGTCAACGTTTTGACCAGCCATTTTTTTCCATGTAGTATATGTTGGATGAGTATTGAGTAGAGGTGCAAAACTTGGGCCAGTTAATGAATTTAAGAACCTTGCCTATAGGTTTCATCAATCTCATTTGAAGTTCAATATTGCTAGAGTTAACACAATATCAGCTTTTTTCTTTTCTGTTGCTAGTGGTCCACAATTTAATATGCTTGTGATGAATGTTGTGCTTCTTGTGTTATTGCAGGTACAGCTCAAGCCTTTAATGGACCAACTTGGTCGGGTAAAAGACTTGCCTGTTCCAGAATTTGGCAGTCTTCAAGCATGGGAAGCTCGAGCCAGTGCTGCTGGCCGTGCAGCTAATGGAGATATCAATGCTGGTGATTCCAAAATTTCTCAGCTTGGATATAATGGAACACCAATGCCATACAGTGGAGATACTAAGGTAATGTTATCCTGTTTTAAAGGAGTTATCATTTCTGGCATGTGGAGACACAGGGTAACTGGGTTACTTTTTTCCCCCAATTTTCTTGGATCCTTCTTATGAACGACATATTATCTTTTTTAAATTGGACATTCCCCCTTCCTCTTTCTAACTAAATTTCTTTTTTCTTTGGAAAATGAAAAACTAATTGGTTTCTTTTGAGTCTCAGCAATGAAATTTTCCTTTGCATTTATATATCTCAATTTAAAAAAGGACAATGTTTATTGTTATTATTTATCACTTTGATGAACTCAAATCTCTAGGTTGTATTTAATGGCATGCACTTTCTTTTTTTTTTGGTTTTGGAGGGAGGGGGGATGATTCATGTATAGTCATCCTCCTTTATTTACATTAAGTGTCAAGAGTGTAACATAGTCCTCCTCCTTTATCCAAGCTTTGGATCAATTATGGGACCACAGACAGAGTTATGGGGCCTAACACAACTTTTACTTTAAGAAAAAAGTTAGAATTCCAAATATGAGAATACTAAGATGGGTGAATGATCACATGAAAAAAGATAGAAAAATAATGATTGCATATGAAAGAATATTAGAGTGATTAAGGTGGTGTGGATATGTGCAAACAAAGCCGCTGAAGGCACCAATGAGGGGAATGAATTACATTACTTTTGGTTTGGTGAAAAATGATAGAGGGAGACTTAGAAGAACTTTGGAAGAAATTATTAAGGGATCTTATGGTAAGATGGCAGTCTGTGCATCCAGTGTGACCTTGCTTGCCAACTTGCTTGATTGATTAGCTTGGTTTCATTTCTGTTGACTATCTCCTCATATTTTGTTTGCGTTCATAGTTAAATTAGTAATAACCTTTTCTTATATCTTGAAATTAGTGCAAGTTAATGAGGACAGTGCCTGGGTTGCTCTGCAGTTGTATCATAATGAATCTTCCATTCAGCTTTCAAATTTTGCTTTGAGCACATCTTCCTTCAATATCTTTAAATGCTAAGTAGTCTATTTATGAATTTGGACAGGTTGTAGTTGATTTCAATGGCACTGAAGACAAAGGTGAGGGTGTCAAGTCTGAAACTGACAGTACATCTTTAAAGGTTTTGCCTCCATGGATGATTACGTCAGGAATGGTTCTTACAAAGGAACAACTTGGAGTGGTGAAGCAGGAAACTAAGATGGATGGGACTTCAACTTCAACAACAGCACACTACACAGATGACAAGAAGTTAGCAATTGAACGTGATGATAATAAAAATATACAGGTTCATAAAATAAGATGAACTATTATTTACTTTGTTTTTGTTCTACTTGTTTGAGTTCCTTTCCCCTTCTGCTTAAAGATGTAAGACAGTCTTTGTTCACCAAATATTTCTTTTTCCTTTTTGTAATTTATAGGATGAGTATATTAAGGCTTATTATGCTGCTTTACTTAAGCAACAACATGAATTGGAGGCAGCTGCAAAAAACCAATTGTCAAATACACATGCAGCAGATGATCCTTCTGGCAGCACTTCCAATCGTCAGGTTGGCGTCAAATCGAAACGTGAGGAAGATGATGATATTGAGTGGGAGGAAGCTCCAATTTCTGGTACAATTTAGTCTTTTAATATGATTTGACTGAATTTTGGATCAAGTTTAAATCTCTAATGGATCAACTTGAATTAAAATAGAATTATTAACAGCGGGAATTCTGTTTAAAATCTCAAGAGGCTAAACTAATTACATAGGAGGCATTTGCTAAAAAAAGATTCACAAGGGGGAGGTCATTGTAATTTAAAAATTTAGAGTGGGTGGTTATAGGCCTTCTAGACACGAAAGGCAAGTGCACAACTATTACATCAATAGTAGCCTTTTTTGTTTAGGTGGGGGATTGACTGCACGGATTAAATGACACCATAATGTTTTTGTAAATCATGTCAATTGACAGACTATTTTGATCTAAATATTTCTTAATAGTTTGAACTAAAATATTTCTTGGCCTCCCTCTACGTCTTAAATCTTAACTATTGGGCTACTACTATTTGATCTACTCCTTACGGGGGCGTATGTTGGTCTTGTCCTTACATGCCCCAACCACCCAAGAAAAGATTCAACCATCTTTCCCCTATGCGGGTTATTCCATCTTTCTTTCTAATCTAATGCATTCATTCCTATTGCTACTCAAACTTTCTTTCAAATGCATTTATTTTTAATCCTATTTTGTCTAGTGTTTTAACTCATCCCAATAATATCACAAAGGCAGGCCAGCATTCAATCTTGCAAGTGTTGTGTTGTGTGGTCAATAAAGGCACGGGGTAATACACTTAAAATTAATTATAATAGCTTCATCTTCCTGGCCATCCCAGTCTTGGGAAACCATATCTATAGAACCAGACTTTAAGATGTGCATAATGAGGCTATTTTGCGGGAGCTTTGCTGTCATTGAGCTGAACATTTTTCCCCCTCAGATATGACTGTCTCCATAAGTATTAAATTATAATTTAGTTTTTCTTTGTATGTTTATGATTATATGACTGGGTCCCTTTCTGAAATTTCCTTGTTAGCAAATTCGTTCCTCCTTTATTTTATTTTTCATTTGGTTGACAACGTTATTTGTGGCCGTTGACTTATGCACTGGGTATAATTTTTTAAGGCAATGGAAATGAAGGTTACAAGGTCGGTGATTTGAATGTTCAAGCTGAGGAAGTTCCAGCAGATGATGATGACGACGACGTTGACTGGGAGGAAGGTTGATGAAAAATTATGTGGTCAGCATAGAATGTAATGGCCTATTCTGATTGCCAAGGGCAAGTGCTCATGCAATTATACTGCTTCAAATTATGTACCATAAGACCGGAATTAACTGCTCATTATATTATTCATTGTGCGTGTTGATGTGATACGTGTCCGTGGTTTCAGAGATGGTGCGCAGTTGACTTTTAAGTTGTAAATTACCAGTTTTCATCGTATGTTGGATGAACAACTCTACTATGAACCTTTGCATGTTATGGCTGTTCAAAAATAGTCTCTCGAACTTCTTTTCATCGGGAGCGTATTAATATTTACTAATGGATACATAGTTTGGTGAATGGCGGGCCACATCAACGTTGTAACTATGGTGTTCTCACACCGATGAAGAAAACGGTGAGCCCTGAATTATTTCTACCTCATCCATTTCCGGCTCGGCCCTTTAAATTTGATACCCTTTTCCCGAAAATATACATAAGGTTAAGGAGAGAATAGAGATGTGCAGTTAAATTTGATGCCCCTTTGAATTGGGTTTAATAGCTTATTAAGAATTTTCAATTCTTTTATCATCATACTTTTTTTTAGAATGCCAAGTTAATTTTAAAAAATGCTGATAAATGTTTTGTAATAGATCGTAGTTTTAAATTTTTGTGAAATAATTCATTTAATCCAAATCCCTTTTTCTTGATGTCTTTTAATTAAGTTCTTCGCAGACAATGCTACAATGTTGTATTCCTTTTATGAATAAAACAATCGAGATGCGAATTTTCGTTCATCTAACTGCAAGCTGTAAAAAATAGAGGTCAAAATATATATGTATTCTATGGAAGCAACACGTTTCGGTTACTCAACAATCAGAGCAAGCTAGAAACAAATTTTAAGACCCACATGCCCTATAAAGGGATGTATGGGAGGTCAACATTTCATCAATTGATTCATCAGTGTAAATAAAAACAAACAATATATTTGAAAGAGGACAGAAAGAAGAGTCTAGTTTAAGCAAGTGTTTTCAGCTCTCCTATGCAACTTTAGCGTGTTCCAACGTATATATAGTGTAGAGTACAGACGTGTGAATTGGCACAATATAGTTTACGTGATTATTATAATTAAATATAAAATATTGAGAAACGGATCAGAATATTTAATGCCAGCTCGTTTATGCTGAAGCTGGGCGCAAGGTCAATACCAATGATAAATTTAATAGTTATATATATATACATTGTTAAATATTGGAAATAAAAGGGGAAATTTCAAAAGATAGTATGAGTTTGTTTTCTTCATTTAAAACCAAATGTCGGTCAATACCAAAAAGAAAAATCTTAGTCAAAATAATGTCACGACTCTTCTCTCTTTTCTGCTGGCTACTATACAGCATGCTGCCATAACGTGCGTTCAGACGAAGAAAATCGTGAAAGAATAGATATTTGACACAAGAAAACGAAAAAGAGATGGGGAGAAATCAAATTAAATGAGCACTAATAATTTAGTGTTTCCATTTTTTTTTTTTATTTACGATTGCTCCACTTCTCATGGATATGTTGTGTAGTCAATGAAGGTATCGCTGTTTTTAATAGATGTCATAGGTTAGAAATTTAGAATTGATGACTTTGAAAATTTTAAGTCACCAAAATTAACCAGACAAAGTACCTTTTCAAGACGTCCTCCCACTCTCTCCATCTCTATCTTTTTAGGCTATAAAGATTATGTTATAGCTTTATTATAAGAGGTCATAGAACTTCACATTTACAGATAATAATACATACCAGATCTTAAATAAGAGATACTTGTGCTTTAGGAATAAAACGAAATCGAAATTTTGCCATAATATCATTTATTTATCTAATGAATAAATGAATTGGTTTCTCATCCTTGTGTTTAATTTAAGATTTAGTTGGAGATATGTTGGTATTAGTCACTCATTGGCACATATCCAATTTGATAGATATATATATACCCGTACCTAAGTACCCCTACTTACAATTTTCTTGGCCTTGTCCGGTGGTAGTGCGAATATATATAATTCAAGGTTTGACAATCTGCTCTTAATGAGGCTTTGTTCCTTGAACGCAAAGGAAGCTTCATTGGAAGAAGAATGCTCGACAATTCTGCCCCCTCTCCGCATCTACTGGACCTTCCAAATTAACTCAACTCTCTCTCTCTCTCTCTCTCTCTCTCTCTCCACCCTTTTAATTATACCTTGTATATAATTTATAAGCTAAAGTCTCATGGAAGCAAGCACTCTCCATGTCACGCTTCCGTAGCAGCATTTCTTATGCATGCTTAGCACCTTCAAGCTGTCAAAGCTTCCAAACTCTTTCTTCTTCTTCTAAAACCCCATTTTTCTTTCTCATCCATTTGTCCTTCCAAAATCCTTCTCTCTCCATGCAATCATTCCAATCTCTTTCTACTTTTTCTCACCCATCATGGCCTTGATCATCAGATTCCAACATGTACTTAGCTTCACTCTTTGGCTCTTTCTCTTTTCGCTGCTCTTTCATGGCTGGTTTGCTTTCAAATCCAATAACCAACTCCAGTTATCTGTCCCTCGAAATAGAAAAATCTTAGCAACAGGAGGATTTGACATCTCCCCATTTCTCCACCACCGCCATCATCATCGGCATCACCACCACCACCACCACCGGAGTCACGTGCCGGACCCAAAGGACACCGAGATTGATCCACGTTATGGTGTTGAGAAACGCCTTGTTCCAACCGGTCCAAACCCATTGCACCATTAATGAGGTTCACATACTCTTTTTTTTTTTTTTCATGATGATATAATGTAATTTTATCAAAGGAGAATTTGTCTAGTCTAGTGAAAAATGTTATATATGATTCCTCTCTTTATAAACTAATAATTTATCATCATTATTCATATTATATATGCGTGTACATGCTTGCGATGAATATTATTCTTATCATTTCGTATACAAGTGCACACTTCATTGATCCATTTATGTTGATCATTTAGACTCTGCGCCATAATTGATCCATTGCGAATAAATTAACTTGTATTATTGTGGTTCGAATTATATAGTTTGGTTTTAATGAAAGACGCGCCTACTTAATTGGCTGAAAGCAATATGCTTCCATTATTAAGAATGAGATGCTTAAATGTTATGCCAATAGTCGGTTTGATTCGTAGTGGTTGTGACGGCACGGCACATCATGGAAGAAGAAATTAACAAGATATCTGAATAGATATGCATTTTAATATTGGGATTAGTTGTGATAATAAGGGGCTTTGAAAATACGTGTGATCGTGCAGGGATATTGCTAGAAAAGGGTTGACTTTAAACTATACATTGATGAATGAAGCACACTTGTTCCACATAGATGCTCACGTAGGTCTTTGCTGTAATTGTCTTTTTTGTTTTAGTAAATAGGTGCTTCGATTTGGGCCAAAATGGTTGTTTTAAGTAACATTTTAGCATCAAATTGGGACTTTTTTTGGCTTTATGTCACATTCGATCACTTTCTAATTTTCTAATTTGTTTCATCTAATTTCAACCCGGGTGGGTATTAGTTTGATGAAGTTTAACTACTTCATTTCCCTCTCCACGATTCAAGCTCAGTGGAGTGGAGGCATCCGATGAGTATGGATTCATTTGAAGCGATAGTGAAATTAGGCCTCTTTTTGGGCTGTTTGGTGTGGAGTGGTTAATTGTGGCCATATATAGCTGGGGACCCTTTTGTACTTTCACCTCTAAGCGTTCAACATATTTGGTTGGCTTTGATACAGTGGAGAGTCCACTTTTTATTCATGGAGGGCTTTTTCTATGATTCTTTTTATTGTGAATAATTATAATAAATATATCATCGTGTCTAAGAATGGTTGAAAAAACTAAATAAAAAAATTTACAAGAGACTTATTAGTTCGACAATTTGTCCCCTTTCACAGGATAAAGGAGAAGTGTAAACCACAAATACACTTTTGAATGTTTGATAACATGTCAAGTCCGTAATTTAATGCGCCATAACAAAATACGGCGTTAATTTCTTTTCTAATTAAAAGTATAGATAGTCGAGGAGTTTGTCCATTGCAAAATGATAATAAATGTTCATTTATTTCATAAAGTAACTCAATATCGTCGTTTATCCTGATATTCGAGAATCCAAAACAAAACGTTAGGCAATTGTTGGTTACTATCAAGTTACTCTTTTTACTCTTATTATAATGCAATTTTCTAAAAAATTGGATTCTTTGTTATAAGATATTTTATGATTTTTATGAATTATTTATTATTTTTATTACTTTTAATAAATAAAGTTGATAGAATTTAAATTTAAATTAACACAAATAAATATTAAGAATAAAGTTTAAGTTCAATAATATCGAATAAAGATAAGATTATCATATTATAATATTTTTTTAAAAGTTACTAATTTTAATTTTTTATTAGTTTATATAATTAAAAGTAAATATACCTTATAAAAAACAGAGAATGATAAATCAACATATTGTCGAGCCCACACTCATTGAGATAATTGGGTTAAAGGCGTCCAATGAAGACAAATTATGTGTTTAGGATGATATCCATTTCTTAGTTCTGCTTTCTTTTCGTATTAGACCAAATAATATTTTCACTCCAATGTATTTTTATTTTGACAAATTATTATTATTATTTGGTCTTGACAGAACATTTATTGATAGACCACTGACATTAGGCCTTGCCCTCTTACCCTGGGCTTCTAAGTATCTTTTTCTTTTAGAGTTTTTGGGTCAAAGGGTTCTTGATTTTGGTCAAGGGCTTCTTAAAAAATATCTTGCGCAGCCGTATTGGTGAGTGATGGGTCCAATCAGCATTGTCCCAACATGGTGGGCCTCTCACATCCGTAATCAAGAGACTATGCCTGGGCTTAACTTAGTAATAGTAAAAAACAAAAAGCCCGTCTTGGTGATACTGCAGATGGGTTTAGGCTCAACCCCAAGAGCTTTGTTTGCAAGTAATTTGGTCCAATGGACAGTCACGGCTTCAGACCTTAAAAATTATTAATGGATATAAATTTAATGAAACTTAAAAAAATTAAATAAAAAGTGTGCCTATGTCAACAATCAACATTGTGTTGATCTTTTCAACAACAACAAAAAGTCAACATAATGGGTTAATTTACAAAAATAAAAGAAAACAAAATAACCATCTACAATTTTTGGATTGGATGAGACAAGTCTCAAAATTTGCGATTATCTTATGTTATGTACAGGGTAGATAAAATTAAGCAAATAAACCCATAGATAAAAAACGCAAATTAATATTATTATGATTAGATGATTTCCCTGCATACAGTTTAGCTTTAATGATTCTAAGCCAATGGTAAGAAGAGAAGTCAATGACAAGTGATGAATGATTATGACAGATAGCTATAATAAAAATATGTTAATTGCATGCTGAATTCAAATGATCCCTACAAATCATATAAACATGCTCCCTTGGAATCATCAAAAGGGTAGGTCAGAATCCATTGGGCAGACAATGAGCTTTCGTTCTTCCCTTAAATATTAGTTATTATACGATTATTTGGGCAAGAGTTGAAGCTCGCATGGCATCATCAATTCATGATGCCATACACCTTAGAACTTAGTGTGCAGTGGGAAAACGGGAAAACTAATACTTCACACTTGTCCTTTACCTGATCAAACCCAGCTAATAATTGCTTCAAATGCACACCAAAAAATGGAAGACCTACCAATAAATAATTAACATCTTACTAAACTTCACTTCAATTCATCACCCTCCACAATCCAAAGATGACTTTTCTTCTGATAAACAACTATGGGCACTGCAATAAAATAGACAAAAACATCTGTGGTTGATAATAATTCTACTTAGTTAGATTCGATTAACGTGATTAGTTTGTCACACAAATTCGTTTGTAAAGTTGGTGATGGGTCTAACACTTGGCCCACTAAGTCCAGGTGTTTTGAAACCTAAGACTTGGCCCTTGTTCACTATCTATCAACCAATTCTAAAAAAATGAAAATAATAATAATAACAAATATCCAACGTCCCTACGCAGTGGGCGTTGACTCAACCTCTTGATTTAGCTTGCGCACACAATATGGTTGGGATCATTACAAGTGGAAATCATGATCTTATACTTACTAATTTTACACTCATTCGTCATATATGCAAAATAAGATTAAAGTTTAGTTTATATCATGTGTAATTTTATTTTTATTTTTTTTTAGTTACTTAAGTTTATTCTTTTTAATTTAACAAAATTAGTATCTCGTGACTTTTTTCATTCAAACTTTTTATATAAAAAAAAAAATACTAAATGATACAAATTTTTGTGTTGCACGAAAACTGAATTATAAAACGTATCGTAATTTCCATCAAGTTGACTTTTTTTCATTTTTAATTAATTATTTGACCAATCACATATAAAAACGTTTAATGGTTAAACCCGTGCATTTTATTTTGGTACAATATAGCAAGTTATTTTTTCTACATTAAATTGATTAAGTTATTTTATATTAAAAATTAATCAATTGAAATAATAATTTTTATACAAACAAAAAATTCATTTTCTTCCAACTCTGATATCACATTTTATACAAACTTTTAATTTTTATAAAGCTTTCATAAAATTACTTTTATAATTATTTTTTGTTTCAATATTGTATAAACTTCTGTAAAATGTCAAAAAATTTAAAAAAGAAGAATCAAATGGAGTTATTTTTTAAAAATATAGAAACTTAATTAACTTAAAAAGTTTGAAAGATCAAAATTACACATAATTTAAATTAAAAAAATAAAAGTGTAATTAGTTTTAAATTTAACTCACATTTCATAAGTTATAATTTATTATTTTACTTGACTATTAAATATAAGTTAAATAAAAAATTTATATTAAATATAAAAATTATATATTAAAACTGCTTATGTCTAATCATAAGACGTACTATTGTATCGTATTTGCAAACGAAACCTTGGTATTGTGTGCGTTGAAGCTGTGCATAGTTATACTTTATAGCAATTTAGAGTAATTTAAACTTTAGTTTCCTTCTAGCTGATCTTTAAATAAAATATGTTAAATTTTAATTTTATTTCAATTAATTTTTAGATTTTACCTTTTTTTTAATTACTCCATCTTAAATTAAGTTTGAGTTATATTATTCACAAAGATTTTTTTCAATTATTTATTAACATTAAATTTCAGTCATTCATTCATTTTTCTTACAACTTTTTAAAATGTCAAAATATAATACAAAATTTTAATTTAGAATAAAATATAAAATAGAAAATAATTAAAAAAGGTACATACGATGTAACAATAATAGAGTATATAATACATGATGTGATAACTTGAATTTGAAATTTTTTATTATACTTTTAATTTTTAAAAAGTATCAAAATAATAAACAATTGAAATATGAGGTAAATAAATAAATAATTTTCCTATTTTTACTTTAATTTTAATTAATTTTATAAAGAAGCTGCTTGTAAAAATGGTAAAACTTATCAACTAATTAAAACATGAATAAAATTTCAGGTATTTATTTTAAAAATGGTAAGGTTTAAAGATAAATAGAAATATAATCAATATTTAAATATATAAATAAAAAGAGATAACATTTAACAATCAATTAGAATGAAACTAAAACTGAACGTATCTATATTTTAAGAAAGGAAAAATGAAGTTTAAAATAACCTTTTGTAAAAATCAACTCACGACGAAAAAAACTCAACTAACATTTGATATTCAAAATACAATTTGAATTTTCAGTAATTTAAGTTAAATTAAATAAACTGACTTAACAATAAAAATTCTTGTTTTACCGTTCAAAAGAGGTATAAAACGTGAAAACAGGGTTAACAAAATTCCCTAACTAATAGTAATTTAAATTAAAAGAAAATACTGAAAAGAGCGAGTCAACCCAAACAAAGGTTGACTCTGTTACGGTTCCACTTCCACACCTATAAATATACATATACCTCCCAAGCCCAACAGAACAAGAAAATTTCACAGCAAAACCTCGCCATGGTCGACGCTGCAACCTCGGACTCGCCGAAGCGCCAACCCAACGGCTTCATCGTAACAATATCGGCGATCATAGCTCTGCTAACGAAGGGAGCCAGCCGCGTAAAGGGGAAGCCGAAGCCGAAGCCGGCGAAAGAGGATGAGTGGAAAATCGAGCTGAAGTCGCCAAAGTTGCGACCAAAGAAGCTTCTGAGCAACATAAGCAGCAAGGCTCTGTTTGGTCACAATAATCAGAAGAAGAAACAGAGCGAGGAAGAGAACGCAAAGGAAGAATGGGGAAACGGCGGCGTTTGGCAGAAGGAGATTCTGATGGGTGGCAAGTGTGAGCCCTTGGATTTCTCCGGCGTTATTTACTACGATATAAACGGCAAGCAAACGGCCGAAGTTCCTCTCAGGTCACCACGCGCCAGCCCCATGCCGGGTTATCTCACTCGCCGCTGATATCGACACGTGTCTCTCTGTTTTTAAATTTTTAATTCGTTGTTTTTCTATTTACTAGTGTTGTAGGTTGTTTTGTCGTTGAAAACATTTGTATAGAGTTTGTGCAAATGCATGATTTGCTACGCTTCTTTCTTATTTTTCAAGTTTGTGAGTATTTTAGATAATATATTGTGTGTCGAAGTCGAAAGTTTAATTACCTTTCAGTGTCCACCAAATGTGGCTGTAGTTCTTACACGTGATTTGGAGATGTGACTAAACCTAATTAGAGGAATCGTTTCAAATTTCAAAGTGTGTGTTTATTTTTGTATAGCTTTGGTGATTCCTAATACGAATAACAAAGTATTTGATTAGGTCCAATTCACTTACAATGGCACGCGCAGTCATTTAATTTTAAAACCAAAAAAATTGAACGGAAGGTTCCTAAATTGTCATCTTTGGTCGGGTGCATGCCACTACGCCACTCACCAATAATTTTTTATTTATTCCTTGGCATGCATAGTCTTTATCAATATAAACATTGCAGGTCTAATTAATAATACAATATATTTAATTTAGAACAATTTCAAGAAAGTCTAATACTTTTTATTGACATTTTAAATACCATTTTTTATTCAACATTTAAATTGGACTAAACACTATGTATACATGCTTGCAATTCATCAAGGTAAATGGTCACATGTATGTATGTATTTAATGCACTTTAATTTTTATTAAAAAAATTATATAACAAATTTTATAATGATGTATTCCAACTATTAAGTTAGTTGGAATACAAATTTATTGAAACATTGCTTGATCAAATCATAGCATGAAGAATATATAATTACCAAAGTAATGATGTATACATTAATTTCGATTTTTTTTTTTACCAAAGCAGTAATAATCTCAACCATTAGACAGTTGAGAAAATATATATAGTTTGCAATTAAGAATTGACAAGCTATTCGAAGTCATATGGACTAAGAGAATCTGGAGAAAATTTTTATAAATATCTATAAAGTACAAAGTTAAAAAAGTAAAATTAATCAAATTTATTTTATAAATTAATATTATTTTATATTTCAATTTAAGTAATTATAAAAAATTTATCTAAATTGAAACTAAATTATGTAATATAATAGTTTTTTCCATGATAGTTTCATTGCAACAATAGGTTTGACGTATTTGTGGCACCAACATGTTATCTGGAAATTATGTATTGATTACATGCAACCAAAAAAATATTATTATTTTTTATCCCTTATTTATTTATTTTTAAAATTAAATAATTTTAAATTTTGGTAAATAAATTTTGTTTAGACCATCAACGAAATAATAATAATAATAATAATAATAGTAATAGTAGTAGCTGTGAAAACTGCTATAAAGCCTTTGTATGTGCTGAAAATAATTAGCAATGTTAATTGTCTAGTTTAAAAAATTGAAGGGAAGGGGTGTACTTAAAAATCAGAGAGAGAAAAAGAGAGCTAATGTAGTTTTGAGTAATCATTTATAAAATTGAGTTTGAATAATTGTGATCCTATTAAAAACAACTTTTTCTTTTTTGCTAAATAATTGAAAATAAGGTATTTACACGTGTTAATAAAATCATTTAAAAATGTATAATTAACAATAGGATATGTAAATAAGGCTGAAATATTATTATAATATAAAACATGTTGACATGCTTTTCCAATTACGGTTTTGCTCCAAATGAAAACGAAAACAATCTTGTGTTCCCCAGCTTCATGTCATATTCGATGCTTCGAAGCCTACAAATTCAACTCTCTAATATTTTATTTTGTTTTATCTTTACCGGAGCCTCAGACAAAATTTTGTAATTTTTTTGATAAGCATTCAAATGAACTCTTGTCTAAGCTGCGAAGATGTTTTAATACATATTATTTAATTTCGTTCATTATCCCTAATGTCTTATAATTTTATGTTGATTGGGTCAAGTAAACAAGAGCTTAATATTATATCATATATAAACAAATTATAACAAAAAAGATTACATGTTTGGTTAATGGTTAATATATGAAGATGAAAACATGTTAGAGAGATATTTAGTTTATAAATTAAACTATGTTAATATATAATGTGATGTTAATTTTATCTGAATCATAGGTGGTATGGGACATGGATAGACAGACATTCAATTGTGTCATGTCCTCTCCTAAAAATGGATTGGGGCAGTTGCAACGTTAAATGAGTTTGGTCAAACCTAAGTCGGTAGTTGACTTCAACTTTTATTGTGCAGTTGACATGGACATGGGCCTCTTCCATCATCAACCAATAAAACCTTAAGCCTGACCCGTTCAGCATACACAAATTGTCGTTTACATCACGTTTGCTTCACACTCAGCAACGAAAGAGTCAAATGCCCAAACAGTCATTACACTACAAAAACAGTACATTGTTTATTATTACATAATATTCATATATATCTTATCAGTACACAAATGTTAGTATAATACATTGTTTATTAGTATAGTCTTCAATTTTTTATTAAAAGTTTAATTTTATTAAATTAAAAGTTATATTAATAAGGTTGTAAAACCTTACATTTTATCTATATGGACCAGAGAGGAAAAGAGCTTATTAAAATTTATCTTAACAGGATATGTATCTTCAAACTTTTGGTTCTTCGGCAGCGGATTCAAAACTTTGACTGAGAAAAGAGTCAATTTATTATACTTTTGATTTTATTTTTCGTGTTAAAATAATATTAAGCATACTTAAATACATTTTAGTGATGTATTGTTTATTTTTATAACAGAAAAGTTTTGCTCTCACTTGAACTCTTTCACGTGAATCAAAATATAACAGTAATGTAATTAATAGCTTAAAATCATATTGGCTTGAGTGAGAGGCACAACAAATAAAAATAAAAATAGTGCTTTTGAGAGAGATAACTAGGCCTTTTTTTATGCAATGTTTGAAATCAATTTTCTGTTGATAAAATACCGTTTTCTTATTTAAAAATTAAAATAATAAATCTTGTTTGGGACCATAACTTTAAGTATCAATTTAAAAGGAAATGTATCTATATATGACAACAAGAGTTACGCATGCTAAAAAAATATCAGAGTATAATAAGAGATATATTTTGTAAAAGTAAATTAGTTAGGTTAACACGTATTTATTAACTTAATTACTACGGTGTATCGAGATTTAAAAGTTCAATTCGAAGTATAATTGACTATGGTTATGACCATTTTAAAATATATATATTTTTAAAAAAATATTCAATCTAATAAAAATAGTATTTATATTTAATTTTATAATATACAAATATTTTAAATATAAGATTTGAACCTTTTTTATGGTCCAAATTTCAAGATTTGGACTTTTGTCCTCCATAGAAATTGGGCTCATTGGTCAAATATGGGTTGGGGATTAGAAGCCCTTCAGTAAATCTCATAAAGTCAAATGTGGCATAATTGAAGCTATATATACAAATAAGATGAATAATTTATAGGTTTATATAAAAATATATAATAATTTGAAACATTAGTAAGCAGTTACAAGATTAGTGGTTTTTCTTTTTTTCCAGATATTCGTACAAAAATTAATCCTTAATTTAATGTTTTTCGTATAAAAATTTTATTTTCACTTTCGCAACAATGAACTCTCTCAATCAAATCAACATTCTCTTTTCAACTTTTTTTTTTATTTCATATGTTTAACTGTCTTTTTACCATTATTCCTATACCAATTACTCTTTTAGTCTTTTTTTTTTTTTATCATTTTATATATATATTTTAAATAAAAATAGAATTGGATATCAAATCATACTGAGAGAATCCGGATCCCATACGTAGACGGGTGTAATAACTATACAGATTGCTGACATTTGTACACTTATTTTTTTTTGTCTTCGAGTGTTCTGTTAACTAAATAAAATATATCGTAAGTGTAATTTTTATATTTATTATCATAAGAAAAATTCGAAAAGATTTGAAGATTGTGAAAAGAAAATCTAGGACCAAAAATTGACGACATGATAATTATAAACTTAAAATCTCCAAACATAACAAACAAAGGATTATTTCTCGAAAACAATGTAACCCTTAATTTCTCCGTTCGGAAATCGAAAACATAAAGAGAACGATGCCGATGGTAAGATGGAGAATCAGATTCGTGGCTCTCACTCAGCTCAAAATCAAAATAGAAATAGATTCGAGGAAATAAAGTTGAGGAACATAACGCAAACACATTCACCAAAAAAAGAAAAAGAAAAGAGAGAACAAAAAATAAAAAAAGTTGATGGAAATTTCTACAGTTAGAACATGGAGGGTCACTAAGATCATACGATACGATCCACAAAACCCGAACCGAACCGGTTGGTATGGATTGGATCCTCCTAATTAAGCTCCTGGCGCTGCATCCTTAACCTTACTCTGCAAATACCCACCGTATTCTCTAGCATAGTCTTTCACATGAGAGGCAGTGTCGTAAATTCGGGTCCGAGCGTAGTCGACCCGGTCCGAACCGGGTGGGTGGAGCCCCCGAAAGTAACGGTAGATCCAAGAGAGGGCAGCGACGAGGGCAACGCCGAAACCGCAAACGGAGAAGAACCCTGCAGCGAGGACGAAGAGAAAGGTGGCAGCAGGGACCCATATTGGGCTCGAAACGATTATGAGCGGCAAGAAAAAAATGAGAGCGAGAACGGCTCCGGCGACGGTGAGACCGGTGAGGAGGAGAAGGACGGAGGCGGTGACGATGAGGGTTAAGATTCCGGCGAGTTGGGTTGAGTTGGGGGTATGGTCTTGAAGTGTTCGAAGAAAAGTTGCTGAGATAGCATTGGGGGTTGTTCTTGTTGATCTGTGAGTTTGGGGGGAGATTGGGTTAGCGTCAGCCATGAGAATGTGGGGTTTGTGCGAAAGAGAGAAAGGGAATGAAAGTGATGATGAAGGAAATGCGTGAAAGGAAAGGGAATGTGTAATAGGGACAGGTGTGAGGTGTGGGGTTAACATGCAATGGAAAGGGTGTGTACGTGTAAGTGTAAGTGTAAGTGTAAGTGTAAGTGAAGGTGTAATAGTATTAGGCTATATATGGCTATCTATGAGGAGAGATCAGAGTGAGACTCATTCTCTTGTAAAAGGAAATGGACAAGAATCAGCTGTGTTGTGACATACTCCATAACATGTGTGTTTTTGTCATTTGCCTCCTCAAAACCACCCATTTGTCCATTCCATTCATTCATTCATTTTTTAATGTTTACTTTAATTTATGTTCCCACAAATTTCATTTATTATAAATACATGAGAAATTTTTATAAAAACCATGCCTTCTTTGTATTAAAATTGATTGATAGTACAATCTTTTTAATACTAATAGTATATTAAAAAATTATGCTTAAAATAATTTTATTCGATTCGTCTGCAAGTTGATTTTTTTTGCTAAATCAATTTTGTTTCTTTACCCAAAAAGTTTTTTTTTTTCCAAATCTTTCCAGTTTTTAAAATAATTTAAATTGAATAAATAAATAGTTTAGCTCCCTTTTCTCCTTCTTAAATTACTTTCTTTGAATTAAATACTTTGTAAAAAAAAATCCATCAATTAGTAAGGTTGATTACAATAAATTGTCAGTCAATTACTTGTTTTCTTTAATATTTTTTGTTAAGGCAATTTACACTTATACTCTTCAAAAATTAATATTATTTTACTTAATACTTTTTAATTTTTTATAATAAAAGGAGTACTTTTATATTAAAAAAATGACAAATGAACGTGAAAAATCACACTAAAAAAAATAAAAGTATCATGAAATAATTGTAATTTCAAAACATTATAAAGACATTTTTGCTTAATAATTTTCACTCTATTTGGATTATCATTTTCTCTCCCATTCTAATAAGAAATTAGTTTAAAAAATTGCTCTCATTTGTTTTCAAAAAAAAAATCTAAAAATAAATTTTTTTCTCGTGAACTCAATTTTTTAAAATCTTACCCAAGCATTCAAAATTTTTGAAAATTTGATTTAAGAAATAAATATTCTCCTGTGATTCAATTTGGGACAAGTCTCTCTAATTTTAAGAATCAAAATTTAAATTATATATCGTTTGCTTAATTTTATTCATACCAGTTTTTAAGATTGATTTGAAAAAATTATAAATAAAAATTTATTAAAACAATAATTTTATTACATAAAAATTATAAAATATAATATATATTTAATTTTTTTAATTATTTACAGTTAATATTAAAAAATGACGTTAATAAAAATTATATATTATTTTAGTTAATAATTTAGTCTTTCATGATTTGGTGACTCTATGAAAAATGTTGACATTGATTGCATATAAAAAATAAATTAAAATCCTCACAAAGTCAGGAACATGGTTTGAAAAAAAATATATAAACATATGAGATAATAAAACCTCTGTTCCCGCCCCTTAACGTCCAGGAACGTGCTTACAACGCAACAATTGAAACTGAAAATCCTCACAATCCCCAGTGAACCCAAACCCTAATTGATCGCAAACCCCAAATCTTTAGTTAACTGAAATACACACATATCATTCTGTCGCCACGTCATCCTTCCGGCGAACGCCACGTGGCACCTGAGGGCTGCAATTGCTCGGAAAACCCAAACCTCGCCGTTGCCACTGGATATAATTTTGTTTCATTGCGCTCATGCATTATTCTCGAATATAATCTATTCATTGATTTTGTGCACCTTACCACTCAAATTAATCCCTATAATATAAATACATGTTTTCATTCTCAAATGTGAAAACATGTATTATATTTTCTTTGTATTTTGAAATTGCGGCTTCACCATTATGTAGTATTTACTTATATGTTTTTATTTTTTATTTTTATAATTCTCAATTTATTCAAAATTTTCCTTTTAAGAATTTTCTTAATATTAAACTCTCTCTTCGTTGTAACATAATTACCAGTTTCACAATCATGTATTTACTCTTTCTTGCTGTTGTTACAGCTCCCTCCTACAAGCGTGCCTGTAATAGTACGTGAATATCGGAGAGTACTTGTTGATGTAGATAAAGAACTCTGAAGGTGGCGTTAACAACCCTGCAATCAATTTAGATTAATCAATTTTTCTATACACTTGAACTTTAGTTAGTGAATGGTTTCAGCTTTCCACTACCATTAATTTCAGAAATGCATTTACCTCCAATAGTTTTGAATATAATTATTTATACACTTTTTAGTCCAGAAAGTTGTCAGCATTGTAAAAAGAATTAATTAAAGGGGCACTACTCTTAAATCCGTAGCCTTCTTTGTACGTTTATAATGTAGCCTCAGTTTCTGGGGTGTCGACCATACGCTCTTTGGTGTGGACACAAATCATGGAGGTACAAAGGAGGGGAGACTTCCATCGTTAGGGAGCTTATTTGATTTTTTTTCTGGGTTATTAAATTCCACAATTCAGAACTGTACAACATAATACATTATACTGATATGATACAACGATGAGTTCTCAAAGAACAAAACACCCAGTTAATCTCTTCTTAGTTGAAGATAAGGGGAAACGAGCCAAAGTCAAGTCAAGATATAATTTGAAAGTGACAGTAGGGTTGTTTGTTAATCAAGGAATCTGTCACCCTTACAGTGCTGCCATCTTCTATCATTATTTTTGTTTCTTGTCAGAACTTGGAGGGCTAAAATCTGTTGCAGCAGCAGCTGCTGCCAGTTCCATCAACCTCTCATAATCTATTTCAGTTGACTTAAACTTAAACTTGAGGCCAACCTGAATCCAAGACTTGATACAAAGAATAGCTTGAGTGCTATCATGTGGCATACAGAATCGTTGTTTGTCAATTTCATCACCCTTGCCACAGAAAAGTTCTTCAGGCACAACTGAAGTTGCCTGCACAGCCAGGAAATCCCTAGCCATCACAGATAGTCGAGGGTAGCGTGTACTGTTGACCTTCCACCACTCTAGAACATCTGTTGGTATTGGAGCTGGAGCCTCTGATAGGTACTGTGTAAGCTCATCAGTGGCAGAGCTCATGCTCGTCCTTCGTTTCTTCCGTGCTATTTCTTCAGCAAAGGAAACACTTCCGCCATCTTCAATTTCTTGAGCATTGTAACCAGAACTCAGAGATGAGAAATGGCTTGTAGAATAATTTCTCATAAAATGGGTTCTTGCTTCGTCCAAAAAGTTTTCCGAGTTTAAACTATCAGGGATCAGATCTCCCTTTATGCGAGGATCTAGAATTGCTGTCATATACGTAAATATGTTGCAAACCTGATTAATATAATTCCTGGCTTTTTTAGCCATTTCTTCTGCAGCAGTTTTTAGCCATTCTGGGCTGTGACGTGATTCTCTACAGTTAGCAATTGTTTCTGAGATATGATCCATGAAGAAAAGGACAAGCCCAACGGTTGGCACTTTATTTGTGCAGATGTTGTTTGTGGTCTTGTAGAATGGTTCAAGATATAGATGAATGATGTTCACCACACTTTTGTCGGAAGAGCCCAGCAGCATCCTGTTGCCTAGCATTTCCTCGTATTTACGAATAACAGCATCCATTGATTTACCTGCCTGCATCATAAAAATATGTACACCGTTTAATACTGTTCCATTGTTTCTAATTTTGATGGCATGATGACATTATGAATCACAAATTCACAAGATTACTTAATATACTCGTATGATTCAATTCACACGATTGCCATAACATGCTACATTGTTGTAGTACATTGCACATCGAAATCAAGTGCTCGAATCAGATCAACATCAAAACAAAGCAAACATGGAAACAATCTTATTCAGCCAAGAGCAAATATGAGACACTTCATGCATAAAAAAAACCTTCCAAATCCATGTTCTTTTCTTGTAAAATATTGGTACTGCAACGAGCGATGCTAGCAGTACTTTATGTTTTTCATTTTACCAGTCTTACGCTCATTAACTGAAGGAGTTTAAAATATAATGAGATACCTTGCGAACAAGATCCAGCATCTGGTAGTTTCCATTCCACCTTGCTGAAACATCAAGTGGAAATTTCCATGTACCTTCTTGATAAACTGTAGATAGTTGAATAAAATCCTCAGAGATCACTGGTGAGGCATTTAACTCTATTACAAACTCCCGTATCTTAGAAATTACTTGTTTTGCCGATCTCAATCCATCATCTATTATCACATTCAAAGTTCGAGCAGCACAGGGAATATAACAGAATGGCCCTATTTTCTGACCATCCAAGTCCTCTTTCAAAGTATGGCAGGCATGCATGGCACTTGTACTATTATCATGGGTACAAGACAGGACTCTGTTTTCAATATTGTAAAATTTAAGTACTTTTACAAGGGTACGATAGATCTCTGCACCCCCACATGGATATGGTATGCGACAGATATCAAGAAGCAACTTCTGGAAGCACCAGTTTTCGTCAATCCACTGACATGTTACGCTCATATAGAAGATCTGTTCAAAAGAATTCCAGAAATCAAGTGTGATAGAGAACTTGGAAGAAACCTGTTCTAGCAATGCTCTTACATCTTCCCGCATGCTTTTGAAAACTTCATCAAGTACAGTTCTATACTTCTCACTTGGCCAGAGTTGTATCGAAGGATTTAGAAACTTGTAGGAATTCACAAGCCACCTCTCTTCCAGAGTTGAAGGAGGAAGAGAAGCCAAAACAAGCCACCTTATCAGCAACCAATTTAGGTGATCATAATCCACCTGGTTTGTTTTTCCTTGAGGCTGAGACTTCTTCACCACAGCAGTGGCCCGCGCCACTGAATTGCTGATTGCATCCACTGACTTGTCATAACCTGGATGGCGATTAGCAAGATGCCTTCCCAAATTGCCTTCAAGAACAAAAAAACTTAAGTGGATGTACAAGCAAGAGCAATTCCTAGGTAAAAATATCTAAAACCAAAAATGCTGCAGGTTAAAATTGAGCCAGCTTCAAATATAAACTGAAATAAGAGAATAGAAGGGCAAAAGCTTGTAATCTTAACACAACAAAGTTCCATTATAATTTCAGAGGTTTCATCACAATGGGTAAATAAACCCAAGTTATAAGAAAGGCATGAATATAAGGTAAAAACCTGTGGCGGTTGCAATGGAATAACTCTGTCCACAAAACTTGCATCTCCGAGTCTTGCCATCTGCAGCTGTCTCGAAGAACTTCAAATACACTGATGTCATCGTTTTCTTTCTCGGCTTCAATGAAGTGACAGAAGCTGGCTTGTCTGAACAACCCAACCCAATATTCACAGCATCCATGTTCGAAATGAGTGCCACATCCATCATGGATTTTTGGTCGTCTACCAAAATAATAAAAAGCCAATTTTATGTAACAAATAGAATGCTGAAAACCAAGTCGATTACTATTTCCTTGACTTATGTTGAATTAACGTTGGAACTTTAGTTCACACACTATTCCACCAATAGAGAATGCTAAAACCCAAATACACCAGTCAATTAATTTCATGAATTCAACATCAATAACATATCGCAAAAACTTGAAATATCAGAACCAAGGTGGTTATTATAACTATATACCTTTGTAAGTTCTGTAGTGATTGTTAACAGTCCAGTCCATGAAATTAGCACCAACACTCACCTATCTGATCAGTGATAAACACAGAACAAGCATTTGAAATTCAAAGTGTTTGTGTTTCAGTTGAAGGTGAAGTGAAACAGGGAAATTAATCGAACGTACCGGAGAGGAAGGGTTCATGAGAAAAACGAATACTCGAAATTCAATTTTGGCGGAGAATTGGAATTGCGAAGAGAGAGAAAGTGAATGAAGCTGAGGAAGATCGGCGTGAAGCAGATCTGAGCCGAGAGAGAAGGAAGAGAGAGCGGCGTAGATGAGATCTGTGGTGCTTTATTCGCTGCTAACACGGCTTCGCTTCGCTTCGCTCAAACCATTATTATTACTAATGAGTCGACTCAGTGGAGTTTTGAGTTGTTTTAGCCATTCATCGTCGCACCAGCCAGCTTTCACCTAAGCCCAACTTCACCTTAGTCTTACGTAGTCGGCTAAGCCTTCGTTTTTGTTCTTTTTCAATTTGGGCCCTCTTCTTTTTTGTTTCCTTCCTTACCAGCCCACACCATCTTGCTTTTGGCATATGTGAAAATTGTTATTTGCACTAATTTTTTTCTTTTCTATACGCACCATATTCTTTATTTTTATTTTCAAATTTTAATTCTTTAGAATATTTACACCTTCCTAAAAGGAAATTACTTCTCAAATTTAATTTTAAAATATATTTATATCTTGGAAATTAGTTTTTTTTAAACAAAAGGTGTAACTAGAAAAAATGAATGATGTAAAAAGTAAATTAAATTAAATTATTCTACAAACATGCATTGAATGTTTTTTTTAAAACTATTTGTGTGATATTATGTTAATAATGATCTTGGAATATGTACCTCGGTAATGTTACCACAAGATCCTTTACACAATCAAAATAAATATAGGTTACAGACAACCTGACTATACCATGTCAATTGCACTCTTTTTATATGTATCTATGGCATGCGAATATATTATAAGATATTGAAATAAAAAAACAACAAAGAATTAGATGATGGGGTGAATATTTTCTAGGATGATCATAATTAAAAGAAAATTTTCAGAACCAAATTGACCCAGTCAACTTTGAGAGGTGTTAAACCTTCCTTTCATCTTCTTCTCCTTCTCCTTGACCTCCTTAATCTACAAATAATTGCAGTCGGGTCAGGGCAAAGCGAGTATTTTACTTTTGGAGGAGGGGTATCAGGAACTCTGCAATGCATCAACATTACAAACTTAATGGAAGTTTGTGCCATTCAATCCTTAATGCTAACCATAGTCCCAAGGAACTAAAATAATATTTTAAAATAAATAAATATATATAATAAATTCAATACAATTCAAAGTAATTTTCAATAAAAATCCTTCTACTTCTGATTCCTTAAGGATACAAGTTAGAAAAACCTCTATTTATAACCCTTTAAAACTTTATAAAGTTTTGAGAAATACTAAGTAGTACATTTTTGGGACACTGGTTAATGAATCACAAGTAACATATATATATATATATATATATATATATATATATATATAGTGGTTAACAAGATGATTAGATGAAAATTAAACGAAGTACTAAATTTATTTATACTTAAGCAACATATGGAAAGGAGAGAATTCTAGAAATAGAAATATGTTTGGGAGTTAGATTTGGAAGAAAAAAAAGAAATGGCAAAATAATTTGATTATATTTTTTTAAAAAATTAGCATAAATTCAATAAATCATTTTTATTTATTGTTGTAAATATTATATAACTCTCTTAATTTAAAAATAAAATATTTGTCTCTCTTTTTCTCCCTTCCCATTCCAAAATCCACCTCCCACACACATTCTAAATAAAATTATATTTCCCAATTTTAGGGTGGTGGACAGATAATTGATCAAACACGTTGACTCAAATAGTAAGGTGAGAAATATTTTCACCAAACTTACTGTAATTTTGTTATGTGAATTTGTGAGAAGTCCATGTTGGTTGAACTGTCTAGGACTCCTACTCCTACTGCACAGGACACATGAGGCTGCTTAATGGCAAGCACTCTACAGTTGAAGTAATTAGCTATGCTGTTATGGGCCATTGCTAAGCTGTATAACATCAACCAAAAACACTGCTTAGTTTGAGTTGTGATATTAGCTATACACAAACTGCATGAAGTTATTCAATAGTAATATTCAATTCACACAAAATTCAATGCATTAGGTATCTGATTACGACACAAACTAGGACGAATAAATGGATGTTTCAAATGTAGTTGAATGGTTTCTGTAACTGTAATTGGTGGAGGCAACACATCAATTTTCTTAGCTAAATGTATCTATCTTTCACCTATTCAGATAGCATTATCCTGCTTTTAAAGGCTCTTGTGAGACAACACATGAGATGAATTGATGACTACTTCTATTTCTTCTCCTTAATTCCTTTCAACAATAACGAAGTCTTGTTCCAATAAAATTCTTTTAATAAACTTAATAAAAAATATATCAAAGATTAATGTAACAGTATCTTCTTACATCATAATACTTTATAGATTTTATTAACCAGTACTCTAAATACTAAATACATTTTTTTTATGTAATAAGTAAGATGATTAGTAGAAAGATATAACATTGCTTAATATATTAAATTTACTAATAATAACATATTTTAGGATGATAGGTGGGGTTAAATAAATGTTGCATGGCTAGCCAGGAATAATTTCTGAACTCAACTTCAACTTGGGCGCTGCTATTATGGGCAAAGCCAATTCAGAAGTGGAGCCCAAAAACTTTTGGCATTTTTTGATGACCATTAAAAAGGGCATGTGCAACTGCCACGGTTTTCAGTAACCAATTTCTGAAGCTCACTGGCAACAACATGCTCATTTTCATACTGAGCAGGATCCAAATTAGATAATTAACCCAGGTCCCACAAACCTCATGTTGTAGAGTGATTCCAGAAGAATAAAAAATAATAGTAATTCCAGAATCAGAATCCTCTTCCTGTACGATAACTGAATAAGTAATTGCAGAGTGAAATCCCGAATACATATCAGGTAGAAAATTGTGAAATCCAGAAACCAAATTTAGTGCACCTTGAATTTAATCAACACACCAAGCATACTATTGAATGCAGTACTAGTAGCAATTGCAATACATCATGAACTTGTGTTCAACGCTGAAACATTTGGCAACTGACTTACTTGTAAAGAAAACTATGATCATGAAGGCCAACCACAAGCATTGAAGGTCTAATCTCTCTCACCGTGGCCACAATTTTCATTCCTTCTTTGTCCTCTTCCGTGACAACAACCTCAACCTTTGTCTGTAACACTAACACAATCCTAAGATTATAGCACATACCCATTAATTGGAACATGCAAAATCAATCAAAATAAATGAAAGACAATAATAGTGATGATGATGATAATAATAATAATAATAATAATAATAACAACAACAACTATGTATAAGAAAAAGCTTACGTTGGTGAAGTTGTTGCAAATGTCTTGGAAGGAAAGTGCTAATTGGAAGCCCTTGAGGCGAAGAAGACGTGCTTTGCTTTTGCTTTTGGATCTTGTTAAAGGGTAGACATGAAGTAGAGTGATTATGTCACCATAACGAATGATGTTGTGAAGTGCCCATTGTAGTGCAGTTCTAGCTGCATCCACGTCTTCCACCACCACAGCAATGTTCCTCACATCCATTCTCTCTCTTCTGTCTGCTTTCTACCCTTTATTTATATCATCGTCAAGGCATTAACTATGAGATAAAGCTCTCTCTCTCTCTCTCTCTCTCTCTCTCTCTCTCTCTGTTCTTTACAGTTGTTAGCATTTAATTCAATTTTGATTGACTTCAAATTTATTAGCCCACAACTCTACAAGACAAAAGCACAGGTTGCTATGCCAATGTTACCTCAAGTTTCTGTCATAATAAATTACAAAAAAGAAAAAGGAAAAGAGTGGTTGGCGTATTAATTAGCGTATGGTCAATTTCACAAGTTGAAAATTTATGTCCATATAACACCCAGACCGAAAGAACATGCTCCATGTTTCATAGTATCCTTAGATGATTAAGCACTCAATTTTCTATATTCACCTTCTGCATTAAAAAAGAAGAAACACGTATATGATGATGATAATAGGAAGGGAGTGGTATTAGGTAGAATTGAAGTACAAATAATGCTCTTAATTGGTACGTCATATCAAATATGTGCGCTCTTCACGAAAATATAATACCACGAAGATGACCACATCTTCCATGGAGTTACAATTATTAGCAATTAAAAGGCGATGGTGATGTAAACGAGAATGTTAATTTATGCGAGCTTAAAATATTTTTACCAGGTAATTAAATCACTTTTCCTTTAAATTTTTTTTTTCCTGATTTTTATTGAAAAATGAATAATTAGAATTGTTAAAATGAGCCTACTTAGATCCTTTATTAAACCTGTCTCCCCCTAAAACCCATCGATCAAAATAGGCCGACCCAAATTGACCGAACATTCCACTTTGTCAACTCTACAAATAACCAAATTATTAAGATTAATAAAAAATTTAACAAAAAAAATATAAATAAAAAATAATGTTTCTTACAAATTTATACTTGTTTTTAAAATTATATACATTTTAAATTAATAATTTTATATTAAATAGTTAATATATTTACTTATAAAAAAATTGAGAATTTGATTAACACAATTTTCACAATAAAATAACGATATAAAAAATTAGTAATTAATTTACCTAAAAGTAGATCTATGTTACTTATAATTTGAAAAAAAAAAAATAATTAGTACCAAATAGAATATTGATTAAAGAATTGAAAAATATTACCACTGAATTTTTATCATATTTTTTAATACATTCCTAACATAATTTTTAACAGAAAATAAAAAAAAAAAACAGCATAAAGGATAGGGGATTCAAGTCTTGCATTTATCCAGTTGTTATACAGATTTCACTCAAGAATAAGACTAAATATTTGAGTTCTATTCTTATTTGTAAAACAATGGTTAAAAATTTCTTCAGCCACACATGCAATGTGCCTGTTTTTTCTTCCACCCTTTTTTGATCAGTTGTATCATTTTTTTTTGTTCATCTTCAAGTGAAAATCCAAAAGCACATAGCAACCGTTGAGCTGAGTCAATAAATTCAGACCTGAGGCTGTCTAAGATACATAATAATTATGACTAAAGCAATTGCTGCCACAACTTTACGCCCAAACATGGATTTCTTCGAACACTCTTCCTTTTTAACTTCTGTATCTGAAAACGTGAAAACATTGCGTCCCCCAGATTATTGAAGATAGTTTAAAATGAACTTGAATATCTTCAAACTACTCTTGACAATATTATGTTAAAAAGGCGAGAGAGGGAAAAAGAATCAGAAACTTTTGCTCTGCGCAATTTATGATTGTTTTATTATATATTAAAAGCAAAGGAAAAAACAAGGTTGCTATATTAAGGAGAATGCTATCATTAGAGATAGAGAACTGAAAAGTTTTATAAGTAATATTTAACGTTATCAACATATTACTACATAATTTTTGATAAAATTCTTTTATATATTAATTTCCTAAGCAGAAAACTCTCTAGCAAGACCTGTATAATAAATAGCTAAAAGTAGCCAATGATGCAGTACTTCTATAAAAAGAGAATGCAATTCCTGCACATACTACATCCAATTACCTAAAAGTGTACGTCAATGCTACATTTGACATTTTATGTTTCTTAGTCCAAGGGAAAGATGATCTTGAACAAGTTCATTGATGAAAAATAAAATAAAATCATCGAATTCCGAGCACAACATTGGGAGCAGAGGAGGATAAGCCACTCCATTCCATTATAAAAGGTATGAAGGTGGATTATACCATTTGGACTTCAGATGCACAAGTATCAAAGAGGAGCTTCTTTCAATCGTAACCACGTTTTGGAAGCAAAAGCTAATGGTTGACGTGGTATTATTGGACCATTGGTTTACCAGAATGGTATACTTACCCTTTCGAGATATATGGCAGCATGAGAAAGATTTGCCAAAATCATACTCAGTTTTACTTCATTAATATATAACCAGCAATGATTTGTTCAGAGAAGTTTGGTAAGAGTGTAAAATACTTGGAAGGAATATAAGTTCATTAACAAACAAGAATCCAGTTGCCTTAGCCCAAAACTTCTAAGACTGGTAGGGACAGACGTGGGGTAAAATGAAGGTCTGGTCCTGGAAGCATCCAGTTGTCACTTGAGCTCTATGCTTCCCCAGAATTGCATATGGTAAGTCCTAGATCACTCAAACCAAGAGTTCCCCTTATGATAAATGTCTCAATAAACTTTGCAATGAAAAACAAGAATATAATTACAAAATTGAAAATTCAACATTGCTAAGTCGAATGTTCCCATTTCACACACCTACATTAGTAATAGCCAACAGCTTTCAGGTCATTTTGTTGGGTCTGTTGCTCAGCATCGCCGCCTTGACCTAAAAATACAACACGACCTGTGAAGCACAGGAGGTCATATTGCATCAACTCCATTGGTAAAGAACTAAAGATAACTTATTCACAAGAAATCATCTGTCACAAGCCAACATTTTAATCATGAGAATCTTTAGTTGCAGATATCAACATGGAGAAAGTGAGATATATATCACACCAACTCCTTCTATTGGCTTCCATATGTGGAGCTTTTGAGAGCTGATCAACCATGGCTAAAAATTACTATTAAAATTAAAAGGTTTATGGAGGGAAGGGGGAAAAGGAAGAATAAAAACTAATAATCATAAGATATTAGATTTATATTGCGTGTAATAATGTTATACAATACTAACCCACGGGTCATATTTATACAATAAATAGGTCAACTACTAGAGTAGCGCTACTAGCACTGCTAGCATATGCCAAAGCCCACTAATACAATAACATTGTTAGCACTACTAATTAAACAAGGAAATAAAACTGGAGTTATAATGAAAACAGGAAACAAGTTTTGAGTTTACTTCCTCAATTAGATGGCTGATAGATTTCATAATACATTATAAGATATACTATGAAGATATGCAAAAATATTCTAAATAACTCCAGAAACTTTTAGATATTCTAACAACTAATTGTTCCCTTCCTTGTAAAAAAGAACTATTAAGTGCAAGATTAACAGGGACCAAACAGTAAGTAGCGTATTAGTTCAATGGTCAAAATACGATAGATATCCATTAGTTAGTTATATTAGTTAGTTAAGTTAGTTGATTGAAGAAATAAGACATGTTGCCTATAATTAAGAGGAAATTTAAGAGATAGAGCATCTTTATCATCTGTGAGAGTAAATTGAAGCCTCTGGGTAGTAGGAGGTGCAGACTTGGAAGTTCTGCAGAGTTGTAGCTGCATTCAGGGCACAACTCCCTTATTCTTCCTAACAAGATACCAGGTTTCTATCAACTGGTATCAAAGTTCTAATCTTTTAAGGGGGGTAGTGAGTGCATATGGAAGGAATTGGGAGCTGTTTGGGTTCAACAAGAAAGAAGAAATGCATTCTTGAAGAAATAAGAACTAATTTAAAAAGTTTCGCCTGAGGAGGGATTTCATTTCAGTAAACTTAACCATTCACCTCAGGACAAGGTGAAACTTTAGGGGGGTGGGGTGGGGGGGTGGTCTCAGATACCCATTAGTTAGTTTAGTTGGTTGAAAAAATAAGGCATGTTGAACGAGGGGCATTCATGGTTCTTTGCAATTGAGAGGTGCAGATCCTCCATGTTCTACAGATTTATAGCTACATTCAAAGAAATTTTCCCCATTATTACCAATAGAATACCAGGTTCCTTCCCAACGGCCCCAATTTCCTCTAAATTGATCATATCCTTTCTCTCTTAATCTCATATCATATTTATAGGCAACACGCCAAGAGTCCAATGTATTGTTTTTAAAATGCAAAGGCAGAGAATCCATTAAACAGGAAATCAAATTGATGTTGAGCAAGGGTAGAAGAGTTACCATTTTGACGAACAGCAACTTCTCTAATTCGACGGACAAGACCAGTATAGGGATCCGCAAAAACTTTACTCTCCAGGTTTCCCTCCACATACAATATTGAACTACAATAGGACCAATAATTATTATTATGGTGATGATGTTAATGTTGACTAAAAGAAGAGTTGCAAGTTAAAGTCGAGGTTTGCTCACCCGGGAAGAAGACGTTGCATGAGAAGCAGTCCCAATCTCTGAGGATAAACGGCAACACGATGCCACTGAACGGCAGAGCGATTGGCATAGTCGCTAGGGTTCTCGTTATCGAGTGGTCTCCGATTGTTGCGAATCCCTCCGGTACCCAGAGACAGCAGAGTCACCGTCGTTCCACTCCTAAGCTTCTTCTGAAACGGTGCCTGTCCCGCTTTCCCTACCAATATGGCCTACAATACATAAATTGAATTCAGAAATTGAAATGAAACGCCTAATTGAGAAAACTGAATAGGAATAAGAATATACCTTGTAAATGCCAGCGTCGAGGCCATTCTCCAGGGGGCGATCGTAGAAGATCCTTTCACTTCGATCGGCGGAGGGTGAGGCTGAGTCGGGTGGTGAGTCGAGTGGTGAGTCAGGCTCGTCCGAGTCTGAGATGAGGCTGGTGGTGCAGAAGTGTAGGGGAAGATGGTGACATGTTTTAGGGGTGGAAACCAAAGAGCGATACAGGTACAACCTCCTTGAGACCGTGCTCATGGTGCTTGCCATTTTTCTGCACTGCTTCTGCTCTCTCTTAAACCCTAGCAACTTGCAACCAAACCCCGCCTCAAGTATTAAAACTCACCTCTATTTTCGTTCACTTCATTTTTGGTCGTGTCAAAAATCATTATAATATTAATTAATACTAAGTATTTTTAATTAATGATTTTGTTAATCTTAATTTGTAAAATTAATTTTAAATATTAAGAATTCTGGAAATTGAATCCCTCCAGTCGAGAAAATAATTGTTGGGTGTGCATCGTTAATTCTCTTTAATTACATTTTTCTATTAATATTTTATTTTAAAAATATATATCAATGGTTAAAATTAATGACTCCAGGAAAAAAGGTGACTACAAAGTATCCGAATCCGTCGTCCAATGCACATGAGAGAGAAAAAAAGAAGAAGAGAGAAACTCCTGTCAACTTGTTTTAACCAAGGAAAATAAGCTCTCGAGTTCTGTGTGAATAAATAAAAAAGAATTTTCATCTCTGATTATTATTAAAAGAATTAACCATTCTTGTAAATTTGATAATTTAAAATTAAAAAGTAAGATACAAATTTTACACTATCGATAAATGTATTTCCGTTAAAATTATTTTAATTTTTCCCTAAAAATATTTACTCTTTCAAGAAATCAACATACTACCTTTACATAAAAAATAAAAATCTTCTAACATTATTTTGTGCACATAAAAAAGGTGTGTAAAATAATTGTAGAAAAATAACTAAAATTTAAATTTAAAGAAATAATAATTTTAAAATACAATTGTTTTTATAAAGTAAAGTAAACCAAACCTAAATGACAAGATCACGGAAAAGCAAGAGGCCGAAAAGATATGTGCATATTTTGCGTTTAAATATTTTATTTTTTGTTTTATTTTTTAAGTAAGAAAATACTAAATATTTATATTTTTTAGATCACACACAACTTATTGAGAAATTATAAAATGGATATAGCCCCCTTCCCGTATTTCTTTCTCAATATCTAAAGGGACCCGCATAAATTAGTGTACATAAAATTCTAAAAAGAAACAAATAAATGACTGGCATAGAACGTAGCTATTTCCATATTTTCTTATCCATGAAATCTCCCAAGTATCCGTTACTCTATCTGTTGTTCCACTCTACTTCGTTTTCTTTTCTACATCTCACAATCTACCTATGAAAAGGAACATCTGATGCAGACACTAGCATAAATCAATTCCCTAGCAGTGCCAAGAGCAACAACAACGGAGAAATGTTACAAAACCCAATAGTACTTCGATCTTCCCCTCAACCTTTCAATCCTCCAATTCGCACGTCAGCACCATCACTTTCGCCATTCCAACTAATACCCACTTCTCCATCCTTTCCAGTCCTCAAACATAAATGCAGCTTATCGCGTAGAGAGCTCACAATCTACAGCAACTCTTGTTTGCTCCTTCTTTTGGGTGCTCAGGCAGTGGATGGATCCAGAGCAAGAGCAGAAGAAAATGTTGCTAACCCAAGTACCAGTGATCAACAAGAAGAGAATCTGACAATCACTCCCAGCTGCACTGAAAGAAAACCCACCAAAGAAGTATTCTTCGATATATCTATTGATGGTGAACCTGTTGGTCGCATTACTATTGGGCTCTTCGGAGATGATGTCCCTGCAGGAGTTGATAGGTTTAGTAAGATTGTAAGTGGGGCTGCTGGTATTAGCTATAGAAGAAAAGAGTTTGTAAAAATCATGCCCAATTATGTTCAACATGGTGGCCTTAGATCTTATGGGGTGGATGTTGAACTTGCTAAGAGGACAGGGAACAATTTGGCAACTGATAGTCTTGTTGAGGAATGGGAGAGAACGTACGAGAGATGTCCGGGGACTAAAAACGTGGCTGGAAGTGTAGGCATTATTGTGAGAGACCCATCAAAACCCCCTCCCAAGTTGAAGCTGATTGCAAAACAAGGGAAGCTGGAGATTGATCAAGAAGAAGTTGGAACTGATCCCAACGGAACAGAATTTGTCATTGTTACAAAGGATTCACCAGAGCTGGATGCATCGTCGCTTGTGATTGGAAGGGTAGTAAGAGGGATGGAGGTTGTGCAGAGGATTGGTCAGGTAAAAACTGTACAAGAGAATACGGGCTCTCCGTATTTTAGGTGAGTCGAACACACTTTTTTTGTTTTCTACCTGTTTTATATGTCTGCTGCTATCTACAATTCAACCTGAATCTGTGATATTGCTAATTATAATGATACTACAGGGTAGCAAAGCTAATCGGAGACAAAAGAGCTGTTGTAGCAGAAAGAGGATTCAACCGCCCTTATTCTAAGGTTATCGTTACCAACTGTGGCGTAATGGAGTAAACATAAAATTGTCTACTCCCTTCTCTCGTTGATTTCCCGTGTAAGAGGACATATCACATTCTATAACAATATCCATTATCGTCCAACCCTATGTAACTTCTGCCAATTGTATTACAAATGACGAAAAAATATTACAGCTCGGTTAACCGGCAAGTATTCGTGAATCACTGGAATCAAGGCGCAAGTAAACCAATAATGTTCTTTTGTGGAGCAAGATTGAACCAGATATATCTTAAGAAAAAAGAATTGAACTTTTGATACAACAATTACAACTTTTAAGGCTTTTAAATAGGGAAACAAGCCACGAAAAAGTAAGTGTACACAGCATTTAGCTGGAGGAGGAGTGAGGTGTTGTTGAATTAGGAGTTAGGACCCCTCTCATCCCCTTGGCCCAAGCGGTTCTGTATTTTGGCCCGTACTGTGAGTGAGTTTCATTCTTCTGGTTGGCGGAGACATAAAAAGTTTTCTAATTGAACCGACAGGGTCATCCACCTGCATGCACACACGCTATATGTAAGATACTACATCTCCGCAGGTAAAAATTCCACAAGCAATTAGGCGTGTATGTTTACAGACCATTAATGGAACAGTTCATTTCAACTTCCAACAACGTTGGCAAACACGTCATACTCTTGGGCTTTCCGTTATTTTTACCAATGGCGTTATCATCTATTCTTACTTTTGAATGATTATTCACAAGACGTGTTTGGGCGACAGTTTAACCTTGGGGTCTTGTTAAACAATTTATCCATATGTGTACCGTTTTGGTTTAAGTACTATTACCAATCATAGGTATGTCAAACAGATTGCATTACGCTATAATAATAAATAGTAAGTTATTGAAAATTATATTGAAATGCATCAGAAATCAACAGGATAAGTGAAATTTTACGTTTTTAAACAAAAAATATTTCTACCTTTGATTCCTTAACCAGTGCCAGACCCTAGTTAGCCTAAGAAAAAATGAGGTAAGAAACACTTAACATTCTTTTAAAAACACTTTTTCGGATTGGTCTATTTTTTTAAAATCATTAAAACACTTGCCTCGTAAATTAAAGATAGAAAAATCAATTTACTATGCTATATACTAATAACCCATCCAATGATTAAACGAGAGCAATAATATCAAGCAAGAAATACCTTAACAACAGACATAGATGATGGAGATCTATTTGGTGAATGCGGCAAAAGATTTTTCTGATGGTACAGAGCAGATAACGTTTGATTCCACCCAGGCTCCCCACCATTTATTGATGCAATCCAGGGGCAGAAGTGTCTATGCTGCCTGATTGGATCAAATTCCACTGCTTTATCAGACAGTGTTGGATTCTTAAACTTTCCTGGAAAACAAAGTGAAGAAGATTCTTAAACTTTCTACTTCTCTTATATACTAATGATGACTAGTGAATTACACATTGTCATGCCAAAACAGACAACAATGCAACTACCAAACAGAATGTATGTCACACACTAATTCACGTTCAAACACTCAATGCTAATGATTTATCAAGGAACTGTCAAACATAGTGCTTACCTAAACTAGATTGTACATCTGCACTGCCAATAGGATTCTCTGTATCTTTGACCCCATGATTTTCAAGACTACTAACTTCTCCATCCAAAGTCTTGTGTGTAACAGAAAGTGCTTCACCTTCTGTCATGTCTTTCTGCACAGCAATATTACAGTTAACATGGACTTCCCAACAAGCCACAGCAAGACTACTTAATGCTCGGCAATCAAGCATTTTGTTTGTGTTACAAATTGTGTTTACCAGTCACAGAAATTGTGATTACCGATCACAATAATACCAAGGCTGTAACTTTTTCTATTAGAATCACAATTAATTGTCTATTTGATTAATGAAAAGTCTCTAACCTGAGAGCTACTAGGATATCCTGTAGCTGAACTATCCAATTTATCAGCCTCTGTGTGTACAGGAATCTTATCCTTAAGACCAGAAGATTGTCCTGCATAAGATGTGCCAGCTATAACAGCATCTACAGCTGAATCATGAATACTTGCTTGAGAACCAGTTTCATAATTTGAAATTTCCCTGATTTCAGATGACACAGGAACAAGCTGTCCAATAGAATCATTAACTGTGTTATCAGTTTTCTCCTGTAAATCCGACAGAATACCACCTCTGTCAACAAAAAGATGGTCTCTAAAATTCAAATCATAAGAAAGACGAGCCCTTAAATTGTGACCAATAACTGGCAGAGATATTATTGCTTTAAAGTTTTGCTTTGTTGGGGGAGGCCCCCCTGCAATTGTCATATTTAGACTTGAAGAAACATCCTTTGATGAATTTGCAACATCAGGCATGGTATTATTTACACCTTGCCTACTCTCAAGATCGGCCACTAAAGCATTTTCACCATTCACTTCAGCATAACCCACTAATCTGATTGACTCCACAGGACGAGGAACTGTACAGAATGCCCACAATCCAACAGTAGCTCCACAAAGGGTGCAATCTAAAACTGCAGAATTGGGATGCACTTGTTCCTCACTAGAATCCTTGGAATTTTCATCAGTGCCAGCAGAATGGACAATGAGATCATTATTAGTTGTCACATCAGCAGCTACACAAGAACAATCTATAATATTTGTATTTTTAACAGACTGGTTTGATATATCCTTGCAATCAATGAGATATGGTAGAGAACGAAGTTTCCAACCACATAAACTTATAAGCTTTTGAGCCTGCAAAATTTTGAAAACATCAATATCCATTATTTAAAAGGGGAGGAAACAAAGAAATGCTAATACATATAAAGATGTTTTTGAGAGGAAAAATGAGATAATGGAAACTTATTCATATAAAAAGGTACATTGACTACATTCATAAAATGCATTTGCCATTTAAAGACAAAAGTGATTGTTTGTGCTAAAAAATGAACCACAAAGATTTGGAGAAGCCAGAGATGAACATCAGTCTAGTTTCTTTTTTTTAATGATCACTTAAAGGACCTCTAATTCATCTGGAAATGAATAGTAGATCAAGCCAAGTTCACTTTTGACAAGTATCAACCAAATGCCTAAGCCAAAAAGACATTAAGAATCTCCTAAGAATGTAATTGAAATGCAATAAGCCTTGCAAGCAAACATAGAAAGACAGAATGGAGAAATTATATCAAGTAAAAGAGTGTCATGTTCATGCAGCATTAAATAATAAATCACACAAGACAACCAACAAACAGGTACCAGATCATATACAAATAGTCGAAGAAATTTTGCCACACTGGTATAGAAAATAAGAATTTTAAACTTATTAGAAAACCTGTTATTACCTGATAATACAATTTCAGCTCCTCTTGACTACTAACATCTCCAATCCCAGAATTTTCAGCCGATCCATTTCCATTCTCCAGCATCAAAGATTGTCCAAGAAAGTCTTCCAGAAGAGGGCTTTGTCTTTGCATATAGTCTACTGCTGAAGATGAAACACGCGGAAGAGCTGATAGTTGCAAGAGCTCAAAACAACGTTCCTTGAAATTGTCAACTAATATTGGAGGAGTTGTAGGAGGAAATCGTGCCAATGTTTCACTGCAGGCATTGTCAATCCATGGACAAAGTAACTTATGTCCATTATCCAACTTTAAGCTAAAGACCAAGGCTGCCTTTTCCACTGAATAGAAGACATTATAGTTAGTTAGAAAATTCATACAATGGAAAGTTGCTGTAAATTATATATTAACTGAGAACAATGGCATACCCTGCTGCTGATTCCAAGATGCTGGTGTGGAGAAAAGAAGACGTGCCCCACATGCTTCACAAACTATGGTATCAATATCCACATTGATCCAACCTCTTCTAGCACAATTTACAGCACTCACTATCTGTAAATATCATAAGTCAAATGATAAGCCATAAAATTACAGGGAAACAGGATGGGAAAGGGTGACAAAGGGAGCTCAGCTGTACAGCATAGTTTATTAATTATACAGCTGAATCATGTTTTGACAAAAGGAAATCAGGAAGTATGAAGCAAGAGGCTTTCTATAATGAGGGAGATGATATGCCATGATAAACTGACTATAAAAAACGTGTTATCCATCCCTAAATATTGTCAGGAAAGATAAATTTTTATATCATCAGAACTCTTGACATTTTTAAATGAAAGCAAACAACACAGTAAAGCCAAAAAACAATTTAGCTATTCTCCCTCCAGTAGAACAAGTCAAACAGATAAAAAGCATTGCCTTTTCCCATGAACTAGAGGAGGATTGATCGGGGGTGGCTCCAACATGCAATTAGCTCAAGAAAATCCACGGCCTCAATCACTATCTATTTTATCAAACACACTGTTTTGGAGGTAATATCTAAAGCCAATGGATGATCAAGAATAAAAGTATTGTGGTTAGAAGAGTTATTGGCTTTAAAAGAGAGAGAACGCCTACATTGAGGAAAAATGTGACATCACATGCATTACCATTTACGAGACAACATATCTCAACACAATACATTTAGAATATCAAAGCAAGAAGAAGACCTACAATGACAACGTTAGACAAGAACCTCTTTTGTATTGAAACAACATAAAACTTTCACCAAAATTAACATGACAAATACTGATCCCCTTCAACCGCAGATAAACCCTATGTAATTTGAATTGGATGATTTGTTTCACTTTCAGATCATGTGTTTAAAGCTGCCAACCCAACCCATAAACCCTTTGTCTCTACTCTTTTGTTAAGGCTCAAATGCAAGGAAAAAGTACCTTCGAATAGCAAGAACCGCCATACAATAAATATAATGATGAACAGACAATCTCACCTACCAAAACCAAGTGTTCAAGCTTACATACAAATAGAGGACTAACAAATCATATAAGGCATCACCTATTCTTACTTCATTACTGCAGGGAATTCCTTTTGGAAAGTCCCTGCATAGTTTGTTAATGGAGTAAAACACTAGAATGGCCAAATGCTGCGTATTTTTATTAATCAATAAAAAGGTTAATTCTATTCTTTGTCTTCCTAAGCATTGTTCCCAGTTCATTGTCATGTATCAGCCTCTTGGATATTTAGTAACCTGGTTTCCACGCACACACTCACACCTACTCCGAAAGTATTCAATTATAGCCATGACCCCCAAACGAAGGTATAACAGGTAAGAAAAAGATAGACAGATAGAACCAACCTTGGGTTTAGCAAACCATGATATAGATTTGAATGTCGCTAATCTTCTCATAAAGTCACCACGATCCCACGGTCGACAGAGCGGTCCCTGCGGGGCTGCAGCAGCACCTGAGGAAGATTGCTGTCCCTCAGCAACATCTCCTCTCCTATTCAACTCCGTAACCCCTGAAGCAATTGACTGGTAAGGACGTTTCTTACCCCCTGATACTTGCACTCCAGATGAACTGCAAACAGAAACACATTACTAAACCCTATTTGCTAGAAAAAAAAAAAAAAAAACAAACAGAACCAATCTTGAGTGCATGCTAAACAAGGACACGCGCCAAAGGGTTCAAATTTAACTTCATGGCAAACAAATAGAACTAGCAAGATGTAATACTAGTAACTCGTAAGTGCAATTGAGCAAAATATGGCCACACAACGCTAATGTAAGAGTGTAGAGATAAACGATTCTCGTGATTCGTATCGTGTCATTATTCAAATTTCGTGGAAGGCAAAAGGAGAACAAGATCGAAGAGAGAACCTGGAGGTGAGAGGTGAAGAATTGGACGAGGATTTGGGAGGATGGAAGAGCTTGTCCATGATGGAATGGAACCTCTTCTCGGAATCTTGGGCCATGTTCGGGTGACTTGATTTCTACAATTCGGATTTCCAAGCAGAGGAAGGGAACGCTGCGCCAACACCTGCTTCTGCTTCAGTTTCACATCAAACGCGATTTTTCGCCGGCGTTTGCCTACAGCCGCCACGGTGGCCACCGTGATTTCCAGACTCACCTTCACCGGCGTCCAATTTAAAAGCCCCGTTTGGATTGTGACTATGCTCTATGTTCGTTTTTTAGTTCCTTTTTTCATGTTCTTAACAGTGTGTATCGAACGGGTTGGGCTGGGCTTAGCTCCATTTTATGTATCTAACCCAATCATCGTTTACGGAATTTTTTCTCACACTAACTTCATTTTGCAATTTTTTTATTTTCATAACTTCTCGATATCTTTTGTACTTAAAATAATTATCACTATTAATATTATATTAATATATATAATAAATTTTAGAATTTTATTTTAAATAATTATAAATATCTTTTAACTTTTAAAATATTTATTATAAATTTAAAAATGATATAAGATATTTTTCTAAGTGTTTGACGGGAAATACATTTTTCTTCTTCTTCTTCTCATAATAACATATTATCTATTGTATTTATTATTTTTTTTCTTTATGTCTCACTCTAAGACCCGCAAATGCAATTTCTTAACTTTCTTTTCTTATGAATCGGTTGTTCTAATAAAAGTTGCACGTTTAGAGATTGCAATAATGTAACAAGCAATTCCTTGTACGAGCAACTGTTGCAAAAAACGTAAAGTGAGTACAGAGGTAAGAGATAATGAATGAAAATAAAACGTTAAAAGCAAAGCAGAGAAGACAAAGTAATAGTAAAGTTGCATGGTTATAGAAGATAGTTGCTTATATTTAAACTCATCTCTAAGAATTAGATTAAGAAAACAGATAATTGTGTACTCATTTACATGTTCTTATCGTAGAGATGCACCTCGTGATGCTTTATTTTTTTTATATATATATATATATATAAAGCTGAAAATGATAAATTTGGCTGGTAAAATTAGAGTCAATGTTAAAAAATTATCACATAACTTTTACACTTTACGATTTTATTTAACTTTTAAAATTGAATTAAAACATAAAAAAGTAATAAACTTTCATAAAAAATAATACACTAATTATATTTAAATTATAAAAGTATTACAAATGTTGAAATATTTGTATATTTTAAATGTTGAAAATAAAAAAAAATGCTATACTTTACATATATAAATTTATTTTTTAATAAACTATAAAATATTTAATTTGACTTAATTTTATCATTATTTTATAACAATAACTGTACTTATTTTGATAATTTTTTTATTTTATTCTTTTCAGAAATCGTTTTTTTAGAATATTATATTTTCATTTATTATCAGTTGTAGTGTTATCATGTTTCCCTTACTATTATTTTCCTAAATTTATTTTAATTTTATTATGCTTCCTTAATTTTATAAACTTGTTTTTGCTATTTTTTATTTTTTTTGTTAAGCTAACATTATATTATTAGTATGATAAACTATATATATATTGGGTAAACCCTGAATTTTAACCTAATTTGTCCAACTCATTCCACGAGGCGAAGAAGAAGGGCAAGTCTTTACCCTAATCACACCTTATATATATATATATATATATATGTATTGGCCTCTGCACCTTACCGGGTCGCTGGTTCTGTTCTGATTCATTTCATCTTTTTAATCAAGGAAATCACAGTTGAGAGTGAGACTTGAGTTCTCCTGTTCTCTTTCTCTACTGTGTTTCCTTGGTTAAAAGGATGCGCTGGATCATAGTGTTCAATTCGCTCAACATTCATCATTTTTTTGTAGTTCTCTCCTTTCGTTCGAGTCTCTCAATCTCAATCGCGTTCCATATTTCGTCAATACATTCATACTCTGTTTTCGTTCAGAGTCGATGGCGTTGCCGTGTCTTTTTTTATTTGTTTTTGTTTTTTGTTATTTTAGTATGTGCATATCTACTCCGTTGCTGCCGTATCCTTTTCCTGGTTTCGGATCTTAAATTTTGACTTCATTTTTTTTCCTTTATGGATCGGATTTACTTCATTGTACGGGAGCTGCCGAAACGTTGCTGCTCCGTTTACGTCTTTACAAAATTTCAATTCAGAGAAATTTTTTCGAATCTGAAGCTCGCCCAAGCTTTTATCATCGTTTTATTGATTTTTTTTCCAGCGTTTTTTTCCTTCCTTTATTAAATCATTAATCAAGTATTTGTAGTTGTACTCTTTGTCATACTACTAATTTTCTGTTTTGCCTTTTTTTTTGGGTTTTTCAGAAAGAGGATTGAGATTGGGACTAAATCGAGGTATAATTTTGAGATCAAGATGGGTACCAAAAAAAGGGTCCAGTCTTCGTTGTTATCTCAAAAAAAAGTCGAGTCCTCGTTAACCATGGCATTTATATTTATTTATTTGTTAATAATTAATACAAAAATTGATAATTCATATAACTCCAAATACAAAAAAAAACATTGATATTAATAACTTTATTTCTTCTTTAAAATTAACCACAATTAATTACTTCTGCTAAGACCAAAGAAATAACTTCAATTATTACTATGAACTACATAATTCTAGAACTCACTAGTAGTAAACACATTTCATAAGAACTTGTATTTATAGTTTCACTGTATAAATTACAAACAGGGTTAGCATCGTTAAGTGAAAATTTTCTTTTCTATTTTTTCTATTTATCAGTAATTTATCATGTGTAACCTTCATAGTAAAGGTTTTTACTTTTTGAGGATTTGGTCTATTCTAAATAACCATAAAAATATAATTATAATAAATATTATGAGCACAAAAATTAGTTTACAAATTATGTACAAACTTTAATTGTCCCAATTAGAAGCGAGGGACTAGCCGTAGTAAAATAATATTAAATATAATATCACAAATCTTTTGGAGAACACATGGTTTAATCTTTTCCTAGTCCCAGTCACCATTAGATATAAGGAAAGCAGCTGAAAGACTTACCAAATTAGGATGTATCGCATAATTTAGCTGTTCAGTAATCTGGCTTTTCAAAACTTCACTATTAAATTGAATGTAAATTTAGTTATTGTAAATTTTTTTTATATTTAACGAGGCTTAAAGTCCATTTTTTACAATTTTAATTACTCATTTAATTTTTTTACTTTTTGAATTACTCAAATTAAGTCCCTTGCTCAAATTAAGTCTCTTACTCTAAAACTTCGTCAAATAATTAATACAAATATAACAAATCATAAATTTATATAATTTTAAAAAAACTGTATAAAATAATTGAATAAAATTACAAAAGGTTTTTATTATATATATATATATATTAAGTGGTATCTTTATTTAAATAATTTATATAAATCAATAATATGACGTATATTTAATATGATTTTTTAATAATTACAAAAATTGAAATAAAAAACTTAATTTGAACACTTAAAAAATTAAAGAAACTAAATATAACCAATTAAAAAATTAGAGATCAAACATGTAACTAGGCTTAAAATAAAAGGTATTTTCTTGCTTTGACAATAAGAATATATAGTTTAAATACATGTCTATCTTTTTAATTATCATAAAAAATTTTACTGTTCTGTTAATTTTAAGAAATAAATGCTAATTTTCTTGTACACTACGTGAATATCATTAAATTATAGTAATATTTTGAACAAATAATATATTGTACGATTGTTCTTAAATTTAATAAAATTTAAAATTAATAAAAATTTAAAATTATAACAATATCCATGCATTGTATAGGAAATTTTTTTAATTTTTTCTTAAAAAAAGTCATTTATTTTTCATAATATTTTGAATTTCCCCATACATCATACAATTTATTGTTGTATTTCTTAAAAATAAAGAACTAGATAATATAGGTTTAAGATTAAACTTTCATATTACTAATGAAAGATAAGAAAGCATCAAACAAATTGTTGATAGAAAATATACAATTATTCTAACCCTGCTCCAATTTTCTTTTGTCCTTACTTGCTTGTGATGGGAGAATGAAAATGTAAGCACAACAGTTCAATTTGAGAAAATTATTTTCTCGATTTTTTAAGAATTAGTGAAAAATATTAATAAAAATAGAATTACAAAATAACATAGGACACATGCAATTGTTAACATAAAAAGCTCCTCAAAGTAAAGATTAAAAACACCATGAGCACTGAAGAAATAATTTACTATAATTAAAGAAGGATATAAGAAGATTACTGTACAAGCTTTGTTTAAAAACATTCAAAATAAACAAAATATAAATGCTCACAAATAAAAAAATAAGATGAAAAAATTTAAATAGTAGAGCACACAATTGTAACATCTCTTTCTTTCTCTATATATACTTTTTCCGATGATCTAATTAGACAAAATAAATATTTATATACGACAAACTTGTCTAAAAAATAGTTTAATGCAAAATTAAATGAGTCTGCATTTACAATCTAAAAAACAATGGTTTAGTAATATATAAAAATAGTAATAAGTTGTCTTTCTCTCTTCTTTTTTAATATTTTTGCTTTAGTGTGTCTTTTTTCATTCCTATATGGTCTTTTTCTATTTATTAATTTTAGTGAAATACAATGAACCAACATATTTAGATATTTATCTACATAAGAATAAAATATAAATTTTAATGAAATACAACGAGCCAACATGGTTAAGTATTTATCTACGTAAGAACAAAAATGGTTATAACTTTTTTATAAAATAGTTTTTCAACAAAAATAGCATACCATTCAACCTTCTTTTATTGTGTAATGAAAATGCACGTAAAGGAATGAAAAAGTTGGGGATGATATGACGATTACCTAAAGTTTCCATTCTCTTTCTAAAGCCCATTTACATGTGCATTTTACATTTACCTTTTGATAAGAAAATTGATGGTGGAGAGAGGCCTAATTCTAATTAGTCGTGGATGAAGGAAGAGTTAGAATAGGAGGAGTTGGACGGTGACAGTGATCTTGCAGTTGCAGGAAGAGCTTAATTACTCAGTGGGGTGCACCCAGTTTTAGCCCTGTCCTACGCCATAGGGTGGTCCAAACTCAATCTGTGACAACACTTCCATACAAGTTATAACCATTTTTGTTTCTTTGCTCTCTCTATTCACCCAGTGATGTATTGTTTTACTTAATAAGAACCGATTGTTAAAGAAAAATGGGCCTTACACATAAATGAAAGGATAAAAGTGAGGTGATTTGTGGGATTTATTTAATAATTTGTTTACTTATATATTAGAGTAGACAGTTGAATTGATTCCACCATTAAAGATGCTATATTTACTAATAAAATGCTTGACAAATTATCACAATACTTCATAACAGTTAGCACTTTAATAAAATAAGATTAACGAAAATCGTATTAATAATATATCCATGCATTTCATATGCGCATGTGAGTGTTCCAGAAGAAGAGTTATAGGGTCCCAAGCTAAAACAGCCAAACCTTACCCCACTTCCAATGTGCTTGTTTCAGACTTCATAGTATTCAGTATCTTATAACTCATTACATAATCAATTCTCAATCATAACTGTGATAAGGTGCAGTTTAGATAAAATAAGTAAAGTGTTAGTTCTAACTTATACAAAAAAGTTTACTTTTTTATGTTAATATTTTTCTCTTATAAGAACTTTTTTGAAAATTTAATCAAAATTATGCTTAATTTCCATCAATTCCAGTGTTCTTTCCCTTCCTATGCACAAATTTCATGCAAAATGCTTATAAATTTCACCTAAATCATTACAATCATTTCACCATGTAGCATTTCATATTTGTTTAACAAGTTTATTTGGGACATTCATAAATGAAAAAAAAAAAAGTTTATTAAATTCTTTTATTGCATCACTTATGCTATGTATGGAAAGGCACGATTCTCAGTCTGGTTAATTTTAGTAAAAAACGAATTGAAAAACTTATATTAATGGAAATTGAAAAATGAGGTGCTGGGATGTTTGTCATTCCTTTCTTTTTGTCGTCTGATCCATAATGAACACAAATCCGTGAAAAAACAGTAAAAAAATTATTATAATCAATACGATTTTTTAAATTTGTGCAATAATATACATAAAAGTAAATATTATAATTAAAAAGTTATAATATTAAATAATATCAATATATTGAATTGCATTGATTTTAATATTTTTAATAAAATTTTATTATATGTAAAATTTTATTACCTGAAATATTGCACAGCATAAAAAGATAGTAATCAGTGACTAGTTGGCCTTTCACAACAGAAAAGCACATGCATATGCACTATAGGCTGAACAGATGAAGTTCTAAGCTATAAACCTCTTAACTGCATCCCTTACCCATGCAACTTTTTTTTTTTTTTTTTTTTTACATTTTACAATCTAATTTCCAGTCCATTATTGTTGTTACTTTTACTTTCTTTTCATCCTTGAAAAACTTTTACTAGCAGAGTTATTTGCTAGGCTTGTTTTAGATCCTCCATTATCTATTACTGTTAGCAATGAACCTTTCCCTGTGTTTTATCTCTTAAAGAAAATTCAGTACACTATTACTGACTCTTTTTTTCTTGCATCTCATAGTTAGTACGACCTTGAAATCAAGCCTATATTACTTTGATTAGCCAAGAGTTTTGCCTATTCTACTTCTTGAAACTACACATTTTCCTGAGTAAAATTTTCTGCCTTGATACTTAGAAATAATGGCTACAAGGATTTTAGCATGGAGGTGCCATTTTGTTCTTTGTTTTGTGTTACTCATTTTGTTTTGTCTTTGTAAGGGCCAAGACTTTTCCTTGACTCCAATGAAGAAGAAAGAGCAGGTAGTCATATACAGGGTTATTCAAGGTTTTGTTGGAAAGTGGTGGAATGGTTCATATCTTTATCCAGATCCTTGTGGGTGGACTCCTATACAGGTTTGAAATTCTAAACTTTTAGAGTAAAAAGATCAAACAGATAATGTTTATTTTATTGTTTGCTTTCGATTTCAGTCTGAATCACCGGACTTTAATGGAACAGTACTGTATTTTTTTTTATACTGTTACAGAAAAAAGCAGAGTTGTATTTCACTTCTATGATTGTATTTCTTGTAACTCTTTTATTTAGTTTTTGACAACTTTAAACGGCTATATTTTGTATAATGTACAGGGAGTTTCCTGTGAGCAATATGATGATGGCTTCTGGTATGTAACAGCTATAAACTTTGGACCAGTTTTTGACAACTATCTCACTTGCAACCATGGTGCTCAGTTTCCCAAACAACTATTCAATCTCAAGTACCTAAAAGTCCTCTCACTGTCAAGTTGCTTCCTTTCTCATAGCCAAAATCCTGTTAAACTCCCTATTTCAAACTGGGAGAAATTTTCAGACAGTTTAGAATCTTTGACACTGAGATCAAACCCTGGTCTTGTAGGGACCATTCCATCTGCAATTGGAAGTTTGAGGAAGCTTCAATCTTTGGTGCTGCTAGAAAATGGGCTAACAGGTAAACTACCACCAAGTATTGGTAAATTGGTCAAGTTGAAGCAACTAGTCCTTGCAGGAAACTATTTGGTGGGTGAGGTTCCAATGAGCTATGGAGGGTTTTCTGAGCTTTTAATATTTGATGCAAGCAGGAATAAACTATCAGGAGTTCTGCCATCAACAATTGGACTTTTGGATTCAATTCTGAAGATTGATTTGAGCTACAATATGCTACAGGGAGAATTACCAAGGGAGCTGGGAAGGCTAAAGAATCTTACTTTACTTGATATTAGTCATAACAAACTTAGCGGTGGGTTAGCGACACTCAAAGAAATGGTGTCCTTAAAGGATTTGGTTTTGTCCAACAACCCAATAGGGGGTGATCTCTTGGGAATTAGATGGGAAATTTTCCAAAACATAGAAGCCTTAGACCTTTCTAACATGGGTTTGGTAGGGATTGTACCAGAGTCCATGGCAGAAATGAAAAGGCTTAGATTTTTGGACCTCAGTAACAATAATCTTTCTGGAAGTCTCTCTAGAAGTTTGGAAAACCTGCCATGTCTTAGAGCACTTCACATAAATGGAAATAATCTGGCAGGGAGACTTGACTTCTCAGAAAGGTTTTACAGCAAAACGGGAATGCGTTTTGCAGCTTGGAATAATGCAAACCTATGTTACATTGCCAAACCAACACGCCAAATTCCTGATGGCCTAAAACCTTGTGTGCAGGAAATTACTATATCTGAAGGGGTTTCAACTGTTAAGATAAATGAAGAGTTATGAGGATTCCTTTGTAGTGGCCTCTTTGGGAGGTTCAAACTGTGTCTTTTATGGGCTTTGGTGGGTTTTCACAGTAAATGTGGTTCTTATTATTTTCCTGTGGAATATGTCATTTTAGCTCGTTTCAGAGAAATCTGATACCACCACATGTATTACCCAAGCGAAGTAGCCACATTAACACTTCGATTCTGACTTTGTCATCTATATAGCTAAACTAATTTATGGCTTCTAAATTCTAATACATGCATTATGATGGCCCAAAAAAATATACACGTGTTTTGATTTAACTAACATTTCAATACACCTTTCCCTGACTTGTCCTCCAACCTACCTCTCAAATCAAAACAGGAATTTCTGTGAACACAATGTTAATATTTTTATTCCATTTCGGCAAAGTATACACAATATTTTCATTCACCGTTGGAAGATGTACTTATCAGAAAGGAGAAGCAAGCATGCATCTTGCAAATTTAATTCCTAACACCAATTTTATAATCACTTAAAAGCGTCTTTCTGATTTTGTTGAATAATGAAGCGCAACATCGATACGTTTGATTTAGTCAACAAAACCTGTTACAAAGATTCTGATAGACAACTGACAAGTGTTGCAACATCGGTTCATGCAATTGCAAATAACTTATTCTGGAATCTGGCCACTAGAGTCCCAAACAAGCGACATTGAGACAAGGGGTCTCCGAAAAAGCTAATCAAAGAACAAAAATACAAGCATATCACCTACTCTTGCAACTGGAATATGTGTCATAGTACTCCCAAGTGCTAACTACTACATATACTTATTTAACACTAAACACGTATTCTTCGAAGTTTTTCTTTTCTTTTCCCATATGTTAGTAGCTTTTTTTCCCCTTTTGGCTGATTGTTAACAAACTATTCAAAGTTGAACAACTTCATGGATGTAGAGTCAATAGATTAGTTAGATTGAATCGCTAATTGGCTTTTTATTTATTTAATTTTTATATATATATATATATATGTATTATATTTATTCCAATTTAAAAAAATATGTTCTATTTAATTCGAATGGAAATAGAATCTAATGAACAAACTATTAATAGCACGGATAATTATAAGTGACTTCTAGAATCTCAATACTTAATCAGCCAATTTCACTCAACAGCCTTGGCTTAAAAAAAAAAACAGTTAATACCAAGTCATCGATCATTTCTATAGACATTACCTCAGCTAGAAAAGCCCACAAACAACCTCAACACGTGCTCCTCAATCCTCTCCCTCTTCCTCGTTAACAAACTTCATTTTTCTACCTAAGGTCTCTTTTTAAGTCCTACGTAAACAACTCCATTTCTTAAAGCACATTTCCACTCTTTGGTACCAAGAAAGAACACACTAGCTAGAGCTCCCTTGAAATCCAAATATGGCTCTTCTCTTCAAAGCCTCGTACCCACTTTTCCTTTGCTTTATTCTTTTCTTTGTTGGCTCCTTTGTCAATTGTACTGAGTTTGAAGTTGGAGGTAAAGATGGTTGGGTTGTTCCCAAGGACAATGCTCAAACGTACAATCAGTGGGCATCCGAAAACAGATTCAAAGTTAATGACACTCTTCGTAAGTACCACATCATAACAACTTAAATACCCTTTTATAACATGCAACCAATTTCTTTTCTATACGTTCAAATATGTAGAAAGAAACACAACATTAAGTTCTTTCTTTTTGTAAAAAACTTTCTAACAGCTTAAATACCCTATATTATATATAATCATTTTCTTTCCTAAACATTCAGATATGTTGAAAGCAACACAAAACATTAAGATTTTTTTTTCATATATATAATTTTAATTTATAGACATCCAACATTTTCTCTCTGATACATTATTTCTCTTCATCACATCACATCATTTATCATATTTATCATTTTGCTCCCTTTCCTTTCTACGAAATAACAAAGAATGGAATTGCAAGGAATGAAATTCATCAACTTTGTGCATTTCCTTCATTTGGTTTAAGTGAAATGCAAGGTTGAAATGTTTTTATTTCAATAGGTCTCACACTAAAACATCAACATTAGTTAGATGAGAAATCCAGTAGTGAACTACCTCAGTTTTTTTTTTCCGTTTTTATTTAATTGTTTAAAAATTAAAATTATTATTTTATAACTAAAAAAATTATAAATAATAAATAATTTTATGTTGAGATAAAAAAATATAATAAAAAGATTATACTTTTTAAATTAAATTTATTTTTAAAATCATTATAAAAAGTATTTGTATATCATTATAATACTTTATTTTCTCTATCTACATTCATTTCTTATCCAAACAAAGTATTACTGTTTACACTTTTAAGAGGTGTTTATCATTCTTTTTTCTTTCTTTCTTTCTTCTTCTTCTTTTTTTTTTTTTTTACTTTTGGGATTGTTTTTACATTTAGGATTCAAGTACGAGAATGACTCGGTTATGGTGGTGACTGAAGAAGAGTATGAAAAATGCAAATCCTCTCATCCCATATTTTTCTCTAACAACGGTGACACTGTTTTCAAATTTGACCGTCCTGGCTTGTTCTTCTTCATTAGTGGGGTTAGTGGTCACTGTAACAGAGGCGAAAAAATGATCATAAAGGTTTTGGACTTAGAGGCAGCACCTTCACCACAATCTGCAAATGAGAGTGCACAACAATCACCTTCTAAAAGTGGAATTTCTCAAATGACTCCAATGAATATAATAACAATTTTTGTCATGTCAATCTTTGGCATGCAGCTTTATGCTTGATTCTTTAGTGATCAGAGTCGTAGGTTTATGAGTGTCTTAGGTGTTTTGCTGTTGGAGCTTTAGGTATTAGTTTATTTGTTTTGGTCATGTGTCAGGGTAGGAAGGATTGGATTTCATTGTTAGTTAATGTTATTATGTTTCTTTTTTTATTGGGGTCACATGTGATTGTTTGCTTCTTGAGTTGGCATTGACTTTTTTCTGAGTCAACGTAATTTACATTTGTCATGAAATGTTCTTCATTGGAAATGATGTCTCTTTCTTAGAATAATGGATGATATAATGAACTAATGTTGATCCTGATTTCTATAAAAGAAACCAATATAAGGGCATTTAGTTTTATGGCTGAAGCGAGAATAATCTGCGCGTTGCACGCCTAAAGATACTTTTGATATTATAGTCAATAACTTAATACACAAATTAATTGAGATCTAATAGATACATCCCAGCATTTTTTTGGATCATCCCTCTATATAGTATTTGATTTTACATTTACAAATTTTATCATTAAAGTCATTTTAGTTTTGCTGCCAAAAGGTTATTTAAAAGATGGGGAAAAAATGAAGATCATTGCTGACTGTAATTATCAGCGCGAAATGTTGATTGAGCGTAGATCATGAGCAACGTGATATGTTGAATCATATAGACTATTATAGATAACAAAGTTTGGCTACTAATAGTTAGAATAGCCACTAGTAACTTAATCTAATTTTGTTCCTCTATTGTTCAAAACACCCAAAACTTCAGAAACTATAATTTTAAGCCTCTTTTATCATGGTTCTTTTGTGTTTATAACTTGAACTAAAAAATATCCTTTATACTCTAACAAATAATATTTTAAAATATCTCATACTTTTTTTTATAATTTATTATATAAAAGTTGTTTTTCAATTCAATTCAATACGATCAAAATATATTATTTTAATTTTTTTAGTTAATAGATCTAAATAAAAAATAATTTCATCATAATCAATGTTTTGAAAAATATTTATACATATAATTAACTATTATCATTTTCATAGGCAACTAAAACACGCTAAAACTTCAAATTTGTGACTAAAAAACAGACACGAAAAATCATATTCACACATTTTTATTTTTAACAATATTATACTTGATATCTCTTCTTTTTATCGATTACTAATCTTCCTTGATCTATATAAATGCATTAAAAATCAGGTAAGAAAATAAAGTATAACTGCGCTTATATGTATAGGCCTTATTAACGTTTCCTCCATCAAACACTATTATAATCCCCATCACTTTTGCCTTAATTTTACAACACTATTGTTTTAAAATGTTATTTTAGTCCTTCAGCACCCTGCCTGTTCAATAACCTATATAGGTTCAGTGAATCTTCGATTTACTAAAAATTATATTACAAAAGGAAATACACTGGAAATTGATTTTCATTATGCCTCGGCAAATTTGGTGAGTAGTACTTAAAATTTTCCGTGGCCAAAATTTTTTTTCTTAGCTCATGGCAAGTAAAATACATGTGCGAACAGCTGTTTCATCTTTGTAAGTACACCTACAACAACCGAAAAAAATGGATCTATTGGTCTGTTTTTGGCATTATTCCGATTGCTTTTCAAAAGCTACTTGCAAAAATTAATGATAGAAAACTTACAACAAAGAAAAGTAATTACAAATGGAACAGAGTGGGAAACCAGCAGTCATGTAAAAAATTACAGTTCAAGAGTAGACAAATTTTGAGATGAACTGATTGTTTGAATAATCTAATGTTGTTTAACTAATTTCAGTAATTTACAATACATCTGTGACTATAAATTAGGGGTATTAGCAAAACTTTTTGTGGGTGTGTAGGAGAGATGCAAAGAAAACACCCACAGTATAGAGGCATGTCTAAGGCTAGTGCCTCACAAACTGCCGCTTATCATCAGCATTTCTCTTTCCATAAGGATTGCTGTCACTGAATCCATGTCTACTTCCATCAACTTTACGCATTTTCTTCCTTTGCTTACTGCTGTTTATGTTCAGACTCACATTTGGTGGGTTTGAAAAACAAAACGAAGCAGCAACAGCCTGCTCAAGTACGGAATACGGAAAGTGGTATGTAACTATTCAAATAGTTTTAATTTAAGGAAGACAATAACTCTTCTTTCCCCCTGTGCATGGAGTAGGAATTCAAACTTTTTAATCTATATGTTGCCCCTTTGATTATTTTTATCCAGTATTCTTACCAATCAACTATTTCAAATTGCCCCCTATCCCAAAGTTTTTTATCCAAATGAACAAAAAGATAAGAATCCCAAGTAACAGATGCTTTAAAATGCCAGGTGTAGTATTAATGCATAACTACATATTAACAACACACAAAGTTACCCAGGATCAATTTGGATAACATATCCCTAGGCACTCATATTCATATATAATCATTGAAGATAATACAAAAAGTAACATACTGTGAAAGCTGTACCTGCAAATCAAGACGGTGAACATTGAATATATCCTTCATGGAATGAGAATTGTATGCTAATATGTATGATCTATAAGCTTCTTTTGCCATCTTGTTCAAATAAAAATTGTTGACTACCAAATTCTCCTGCATTATCCATATGACCCTTTGTAAGATAAGCAGAAGTTGGTCACTGTATTAAATAAAATATTAATTAAGCATGAGGAAGGAGAGTACCAGGTGAGATTGTACATTGGCCACCTTCTTTTCATCATATGCATACTCTTTCACAGGGACCTTAGCTGCCTGAAATTATTCATATACATAAAATTATGATTTGGGATAAGGCAAGAATAATTTCTTATAAAAATGGTGTTAGTGTGTCCTAGGGCCTGGGGAAGTAGAAACCACTGCCTCCCAGTGGCAGTATATTCTAGGTTTGATACAAGGTTTCCTGAAGTAATCTATTTTGAAAAGAAACCTTTCTCATATGAAGTAAATACATACACTAGAAGCTTATTATCCGCTATTGTCAAAAGAGAGAGGAGAGAAAATGACCTTCAGATAGCGAAGAAATTGCAATTCTTCAGGAATCAAGAAAAGCAAAGCATTTCCTTTTCCACCTTCACCACGAGCTGTTCTACCAACCCTGTGGATATATTCCTAATAGCAACATAAAATATTTGTTATACTGTACATCAACGTATTAGACTGCTAAGAAGCAAATAGAAAAGAATATTGATTTATCATTTATCAATAGAAGAACAGGAAGCACCTTTGGTTCATCAGGTGGATCATACTGCACAATCCAGTCCTACAACACAAATAAGGAGGGGAAAAAAAGGCAAATCTTTCACGTTTAATGATTTTCAATTAACAGAAAAGATTAATGCAAGAGTACATAGTTTGTTCAAATGCTGTTAATTGTTTTACCATAGCTATACAAATCAAATTTAAAAATATAAATACATGGAGAATCAAAACAGGTAAGAATCCTAGCTTTTTTTTCTTGCTTAAACTTTGGAAATCCAGGTTTCCTTCAAACATTAAGTCATTCATTTGAACTACAGCACTTAATATAAAGCCAAACACAATTGTGTTTCCCTTATTCTGATCTGAGACTAGCAGCTCTTTAAGTCCATCACCTGGCTGCTATGGTATTTATAGTGTAGATTCTCATTTCTTGTGAACCTTGGATTTGCCTACTACAAATTTATGAGCACTTTCTCAAACATCGTTCAGAGGTTTTTTTTTTTGGGGGGGGTAGTCATGGAATGAAAATGATAGAAGCCACTCTGTGGGATAAAATGGTCCTTTTAGCCTTGTGCTACTCAGTTAATGGTTCAAGGGGTTGTGTCATTGGACATACTGGGAATACAACAAGCTTTGTTGGGTTCATGTAATTTCCATGTTTATTCCGATTATCATACTTTTTTATGTAAAAAGATTTATTATTCATTGTGCTCTTGTATTTCTTTCCAGGAGTCTTAGGTTGCCCTAATTTTTTATTTATCTCTAGCCAATTATTAGATTGACTGATTGCATACTAAGTAGTTGGGGGAGAAGTAAAAAGTCTTATAATATAAATGAGTTATGTTTCCATTGCAAAATATTTGTGTAAGTTGATAAAGGAAAATGAATATACCACAGCAGGTATGTCAAGTCCACGAGCAGCAACATCAGTACAAAGCAAGATCCCTTTTTCTGCTTTGCAGAAGTCAAAGAAGGTAGTTGTCCTGGTCTGCTGCTTTTGTTTTCCATGAATACTTGAGCAATTCAAATGAATGAGATTAAGAATGTCTGCATGGAATTTGACAGAGTTGCATGAAGAGAAAAAGACCATCACTTTTTTTGACTGATGTCTCTTCAAAAAGGAATAGAGAACAATAAATCGCTTGGCACAGGGAACAACAACATAACCCTGCAGTAATCCTTCATTTGTGACCTGCATTCATGAACAGGTAAGATTAGTGACGATTATTATTAATAAAGTTCAGAGATAATGATAAAGTGGGGAAACATCACCTTGGTTCTCCCATCATCTACATCAATATAGATAGGAGGTGTCTGAAATGATAAGCGGGCAAGATCCTCAACCTGTATTTTAAAGGGAAAATATTATTCAGAACCAAAAACAATATGCTTTCCTTCTGCATTTCTTACTTTCAAGTCAAGCATCAAATTGTAGTACATTGTGCAAAAAATGACTCGTGAGAAAGAAAATTAAAAACTGAATGGAGAACTACCCACTCACTTTAAAATAATGTATTATCACACATCAGTTTCTAGTGTATCAAATATATATATATATATATATATATAAATATAAATTAAAAAATTATTAATAATTGAAAGGTCTGGAATTAGGATTTTATTTAAAGGAAAGAACTTGATGAAGAATGAAAAATAAAGAACAGACCTTCTTTGTTTGTGTAGCTGAAAATAGAGCCGTTTGCCTATTCTGTTCAAGGAGAAGAAGATCAATTAGTCAAGCCCACAAACATTAATTAAAAACATATAATACAAATAAACTTATAGTTATAGCTTTGTTTAATAAGCATAAATGGATACTAGTAAAACTTAA